AAAATGATTTTTGAAAAGCCATCGATGTTTGAGATATTCTTCAATATTAATAAAAAAAAAAATTATTAGCTATTTTCTAATGTGATATAAAATTAAATAGACTATTTATTTAAAATTATAAAAATATATTACCTGCTCCCCAATTAATTTGCCAGAATTGTAAAACACACAGTACAACATTCTCGTTAATTGAATTCCACCAGTTCTCTTTTCACGGTTCCAGCTATCTTGTCTCCCTAGTAGCAAGAATATCAAATTAAATAAGTAAACTTCATACGTCAAAAAGAGAAATAGAATAAAACTCGATCATTTCAAATTTAACTTACTCTAGCATCGAGGAAGACCATTTCGATAGTCTCCCCAGCAGCTGCAGAATACTGTTTCCAAAGGCAGTCAATTTTCACTTGCACCATCCATTGGTTCTTGAAAGGCTTCAACTGAGATATAAGGTTCATGACGACCATAGAAGATGTGTACGTTTACTCTTGCTTCTGTGAATATTGAATGTACCTTTAGAATATGAGTTATATATGTTTAAATCGCATTTACATTTGCGATTTGCGCTTGTCTATCAAGGAAATTCCAATTTATGGGTATCTCATTTAATTCAAAATATTATATATAGGTGATTGACATTCAATTGGAAAGAAACCATTAAACCGTTTACCTAATAAAAACATTCTGAGATTTAGTTGCTAAAATTACGTGACTGAAATATACTCATTCAATATTCGAAATATGTATGCAGATTCAGTCATTAATTTTAGTTGACATTCGACGATGTATGAAATATATTCATTCAATATTCGAATAGAATAACATCATTGGTTCGTGCATATAAGGGAAACTGAAATACGCATGCAAATACGGTCATTAATTTTAATTGAAGATTGAAGATAATTGTATTTTGTACTAATACTACAAATGCATATAAAGGAAACTGAAACTCTCTTAATTTTCTGATGAGACACGAAATATAAAATATAAAATTCGATTATAAGATCAAAAACATATTGTCGAAATATAAAATATAAAGTTCGATTTCATAAAATATAAAATATTAAATTTAAAATTTAAATATATGCCCAATAGACAATAAGGAATTATGAAATAAGGTCAAATTTTTTTCCTATTTTTATTTATACTTATGTAACGAAATATATTTTGAATTTGAATAAATCGTACAATAACATGTACCAAAATCATTCTATATGCATGTTTTACATTTACAATATTTACATGGAGAATGATATACATAAAATATATCGTACATGTAACAAAATCATTATATAAGGAAATTTAATTATATGCCGAGTAGATAAACATGTAGTCCGCCTTCTATATGCATGTCTTTATTGTTATATCATATATGTATATTTATATCAATGGCATGTTGTGTAATTACTCTACTTAACTAAGGTTTTTTAGCTAAAAGGTGTGAGAAGGTTTGTGGAGTTGCCACGTAGGAAATGTCATGCTTGTAATAAACACATGAAGTAAAGGTTTATTTGCAAAAGTTTTCCTCAAATAATAAGAAGGGGATATTGAGAAAACTGTTAAAAAAAAACTCTAATTTTCAAAAAAAAAGAAAAAAAAAATCTTCATCTTATGTTTAAACAAAAAAAAAATGCTATAACTTTCGAATATAAACTATTTTAATTCTCATTATTTGTTGACTGTATTATTTTAGAATCCTAAAAAAAATTACTATTAAACATATAAACGTCTGTTAATAGCTAAACGAAATGGTGCCGTTTTGCATCTATAAACACTTAAATTATTATTTTTTCAAAAAACAAAAATCCCAAATTAAAAATCATATATCTTCTAACTCTCTAATCCTTCCATCCTATATTCTTCAGAATCTAGAGTGATTGTCAACGTAGAAGATAGCTAAAACGATGGGGTTATTTCAGATTCGTCGTATCCTGAACTATAGAATGTTATGGAGACTAAAGAACCTAGGCTTCAACTACTGAATCAAGCAATAAAGATAGTGATGATGAAGTCGATTGATCTGAATGATAATGTATCCAAAAATAATGATATTGGTGTCAAAGAAGAAGTATTAATCAGTTTTTAAAACAACATCATTTAGCGAGTTATCAGATGTTTACTATTTTAACAGTTGATTTTTATGCGTTTTTAAAATGGTCAGTCAACAAAAATAAAAGTTTAAGTGGCCATATTTGAAAATTGAAATATCTTTTGGTTCAAACATGAGTTGAAATTTTTTTGTTTTAATTTGAAAGTTTAAGGTTTTTTTGGGCTGTTTTCTTATTTTATATTTTGAGTATTAAGAGTGGTGTTAATATTTGAAATCACGGTTTCAAAAAGACAAAAAAAAACCATAAAACTGCATTGACTAAGGAAATTGTACAGTTTTACCCTTCAACATAATGTAGGTATACTTTATAATGTAGGTATACTTTGTAAGAGTAGTTTTGATATTAGAAGTCACATTTGAACAAAGACAAGAAAAAAATATACAACTGCCTTGACTACCGCAATTGTACGATTTTACCCCTCAAGCATAATGTAGGTATGGAATAAAAAAAACACGGGAAAATCGCATAAAAAACCTTCAAAGTAAAATTTACTAGCACTTTAAACCTTGAAGTTTTTTCACTAGCACTTTAAACCTTTAAAGTGACATTTGTGTCACAAAAAACCTTGAACTAGAAAATCTGACCTGTTGAACAGGTAAAACATGTCATTTATCAGTTTTTTTAAATAAAAATTTAATCAATAATAAAAAAATTAATTAAATTTTCAAAAAAATAAAAAAAAAATCAGAACATAAAGAAAAATTTATAAAAAAATAATTTGAAATACCAAAAATTAAATAAACTTCTAATTTTTTTTTAAATAATTAAAGAAAATTCACAAATTGAACAAAAAATAAATAAAAATCAAAAACTAAATTACATTTCCAAAAAATAAATAAAAAATCAGAACATAAAGAAAATTTTTAAAAATATATATTTAATAAATTACCTATTTTATTTATTAGGTTTTTCCTAGAAATAAATATTTAATAAATATTAATATAATAAATAAGCAAAAAAAAATAAATCAAAACCAATTTAATTTTCAAAAAAGTTAAAGAAAATTTCAGAACAGAAAGAAAAATTTATAAAAGAAAAAGAAATTGAAATATTAAAAATTAATTTAAATTCAGAAAATTAAAAAAAAATTCACAAAATTGAAAACTCAAAAGTTCAAAATAATTTTTAGAAAATTACAAGATTATGTTTTTAACTATTTGAAACCATGAAATTCAACAGTGCTATGTTTGAAATTTTATTGTCAACGATGATATGTCAATTTTATTGGAAAATTTTATAAAAATAACAACATTTTTATTTTTAATAAATCTGAAATATTTTGGTTGAGAATAAAAATTTTAAATATATCACTATTGACGATGATGGTTTCAAACAGTTTTCAATTTTTTTTAAATATTTCTTTATGCTCGGAAATTTTCTTTAATTTTATGAAAATTTAATTTAATATTTGATTTTTGTTTATTTTTTGTTCGATTTTTTGAATTTTATTTAATTTGTTTTTTTAATTTTCGGAATTTTATTTAATTTTGGGTATTTCAAATTATTTTTTTATAAATTTTTCTTTATGTTCTGATATTTGTTTATTTTTTTGAAAATTTAATTAATTTTTTTATTATTGTTTAAATGTTTATTTAAAAAAAAATGATAAATGACCTGTTTTACCTGTTCAACTTGTAAGATTTTCTAGTTCAAGGTTTTTTGTGACACAAATAAATTTTTTTCTTTAAATTTTTCTTTAAAAGTTCAAAGTACTAGTGAAAAAACTTCAAGGTTTAAAGTGTTAGTAAGTTTCACTTTTTTTTTATGCGATTTTCCCAAAAAAACACAGATGCTAAAACCGCGTAACTCAAGAAACACTTCCAGATTAATCTCCAGCCGTTTATCGCTAGTACCTATTATTTTAATCCGACCATCGATTTCACCCAAATCATCTATATATACACACACACAGTCGATAGAAAGAAGAGAAACAGTGTACCGACGACTACTTAGTAAACTACACTGCTCTCACAAAGAATGAGTAACAAGCTTCTCAAAACTGTTCCAGCCAATCTTCAGTTACACTGTAAGATTTATAGATTCAATTAGTTTCGTAGTTTCATTTCACTGTGTTTGATCTACATGTGGTTTTGACTTTTGATGTATAGATTCAATTAGTTTCGTTGTTTCATTTGTACATGTGGTTTTGATTTGTAGATTCTAGTTTCATTCCTACATGTGGTTTTGATGTATAGATTCAATTAGTTTCGTAGTCATTCCTACATGTGGTTTTGATTTATAGATTCAGTTACTTTCGTAGTTTCATTCCTACATGTGGTTTTGATGTATAGATTTAATTAGTTTCGTAGTTTCATTCCTACATGTCGTTTTGTTGTATAGATTTAATTAGTTTCGTAGTTTCATTCCTACATGTCGTTTTGCTGTATAGATTTAGTTAGTTTCGTAGTTTCATTTCACTGTGTTTTGATCTGCATGTGGTTTTGATGTAGTCGAATCAAACAAGCAGATACCTTGCTTTGTCCATTTGATTAACAAAACCAACATTCATGTCGCCTCCAAGGTTAATATTTTATCTTTCTCTTTTTCTTTTAACATATTAGAGAAGGAAACATAGGTCGACTGTTGAGCCCAGCCCATTCTTTTTTTTTGTATCTTAAGATCTTTCAGTGCCCTCAATGTTTTAGGTTAATTTGAGGGGTCAAAAGAAGTCAGTTGTCAGGCCTAATGCTGGTATGGTTCTTCCAGGATCCTCTTTTCAAGTTTTAGATCAATAATCTCTTTTTTTTTTGTTTTTGAAATCCCCAAAATAATTACCAAATGCGGATTTTCTTTCTTTCTTTTTGGTTGCTTTGGATTTAGTTGTTATTTCGTTTTTATTTGGTCCCTGGATCTGGTGATAGACGAGTTTTTTGTTTTGTTTTCAATGTGTAGTTTCTGGAGCCCACACCATGAACGTTGCGGGGCATCTTCGAGTTTACAAGACTAAATGCGGAGTTGCTTCTGTTAGTCGACCTGTTCAAGGAGGATCCGAAGATGATTTTGGATGTGTTAGAGAACAAAAGGCACGCGATTTTCAAGAACTCCATACGGCAAGTTACTCTCTCTCTCTATCTCTCGTAACTTCATTTGTAATATTTGATTTCATTTGTAATATTTGATATCTTTCTTATTCCATCAGGTCATTGGACGGTTTCTGGAAATATTACTTCTGTGCTACCCGTTTGCTCTGCTTGTGGTTTTTCCTATGTACTATCATGTGCTACTGTCACGGGTCGAACCACATGTTTCTTCGGCAAATGTTCTGGATAGTGAAAATTATCCTCATCATTTTGTAAGTATCAATCTCAGCTTAAGTCTATTCGTGTAAATAGAAAGCGGTAGTCCCGAGAGAAACATCATAGGATAACAGTTAAAAAGATGTTTCATTAAAAAGTAGGTATTCACAAAAGAAAAAGTTTCATTAAAAAGTTAAAATACATTTATACCCTTAACATTTAATTTCTTTTGATTATTTTTATCATGTTGTGCGTGCCATATTGACACTATTTTCAATACTTTGGATTTAAAATGATAATTCTTTCAAATAATATTTTACTTTTGTCTCAAAAAAATACTCGAACAAGAAAATGATGGAAAGATTTTATAAAAGAGATAAAAGACTTTTTTATAGATATATAAATAGAAATAAATAATTAAAATTAAAAGATAAAAAATTAAAAGATTATATGTTTTTAGATTTGATTTTATAAACTTTTCCTATTTTTTTCAAATTTTTTTGTTAAAATTTTCTCTTTGGAATTCAACGATGTTTTTAAACTATTTTTGAATTTTTAATATTTATTTCTATTTTAAAAGTTTTAAATTCTCTCTCAAATTTCCACTCTTTAACTCTAAACAAAGAGTATATGGTTAGTAATCATATGAGTATAAGAATACATTTAAGTTTTAATAAAATCTATTTTAGTCATTTTTTTGCTATGGATTGGTTTTGTGAAAATAAATTAAAAAGGGTTATTCTAGAAAATTATTAAGATCCATTAAGGGGTTATTTGAGAAGATGGAATTCTTCATTGAATACATTTCAATTATATGTTGATGGCTTTTTAAACAATAATAATATCTTTTCCGCTCTTCAGGACATGCTACCGGTCTCCTTCACCACTAAAGGAATAAATCTGCCGCAGTTCCAAGTGTTCATCAATTTCAGAGGAGACGAGCTGCGAAACACGTTTGTTGGTTTTCTCGTGAAGGCCATGAGATTGGAGAAGATCAACGTGTTCACTGACGAAGTTGAGGTCAGAGGAACAACTCTAAATTCTCTTTTCAGCAGGATTGAGGCATCAAAAGTCGCGGTAGCCATCTTCTCCGACAGGTACACCGAATCCAGCTGGTGCCTAGATGAGCTTGTGAAGATGAACGACCAGATGCAACAAGGCAAACTCGTGGTTGTTCCAGTTTTTTACAAGTTGGACCCTTCTGCCTGCGCAAACCTAGATGGAACTTTCGGTGACAAATTCAGGAAATTAGAGTGGGAATATCGGAGTGAGACTGATAGAATCAAGAAATGGAAAGAAGCTTTATCATCCGTTTCCAAAATCATGGGTTTAAAGTTGGATGCTGGAAGGTAAATACTTGTATGGATGATGTACATATGCAGCAAATAGACCATATACAAATCAAAAAGTTATACTATTATTATGATATAAATTTGCAAAGAAGATAAATTATACATTGCTGATAAATATTCATTATTCAGTATTGTTGTCTATATATACACTAATTTCATGAAAGATTAAGTGGCTTATTGTATTGATCTTGAATAATAAATAATTGCCGCTAATATAATTTTTGAGATTGTGTATGCAATTTCCATGATTTATACAGATAGTTTTTTTTTTGTATGAAACATATCAAAAAAGGGTTGTCTTTTTCAAAATACCATGGACTCCGCAGTTGACATTTGTTTTACCAAAATTTTGACTTTTTTAAGAGATAATTGGTTGGACCGTAAGTAGTGGATTTATCTTTATTTTCTATCTATAATGTTATACATCATCAATCATGTTTTAAGTAATTTTCAAAGTTAAATTAAAAAAGAAAAGAAAATAGTTGTATGAATTTTATTTTTTAAAGCAAAATTTTTTTTTTGTATGGTTGATCTAATTTTTTTATGATTTTTTATTTAATTTCTACAGTGACATTAAATATATTTACATCAAATTTTTTTATAAACTAAATTTTTCAGTGAAACTTTTACACTTACAATCCAATCAGTCGCCCATTAGTGACAGAAATGGATTTTTGATGGCGAATAGAGAGGTTCATAACTTTTATACACTAGAATATTCATTTATTTATTTATATTTCCGGTATTTATATGTTGTGTTCAATCATCTCTATTTCCATTATGAGTTTTTCTTCATTGCGTTGGTAGTGATGAGAGCAAATTCGTCGACTTAATCGTTGAGGAAGTGGAGAAAGTGCTAATCAAGATTTTCACCGATAATGAGAAAGCTACCAAATCTATCACTGGAGCTAACAAAATGTCCGGAGAAGAAAGAACCCTTCCATTTTGAGTCGAACAAGATAAAAAGGGATCATCGTCTCAGTTAAAAAAAGAAGTCCATTTAACCTATCTACTTTTGTGTTGATTATTTTTGTTTCAACAATTGAAAAATTATTGTATTGATAAAAGAACAGTTTTTCGTATTTACCAATAAATTAAGTTTTAGACCAAATCTACCACACATAGTTTTATTTTTCAAAGAGAAAATTCCTTAAAAATACACGAACTGATTTACATTTTCTAATAAAATACACGAACTATTTTGAATCCTCGTTTAATACATGAACTAGTTTTCGCTACCTATTAAATACACAAACTTTTGAAATTCGAAGATTTTACACATTGTTTTTAACGGCGTTACCTATATTTAACGGATCTGTCGACACCGTTAGTGTTTAATTAAACATGTGTTTAAATTATGAAAATAAAATACCTTAAAAATACACGAACTAATTTTCATTTGTTAATAAAATACACGAACTATTTTAGATCCCCGTTTAATACACAGACTAATTTATGTTTTCAATTAAATACACCAACTTTGGAAATTTACATTTTGCACATCGATTTAGCCAACACCAACTATGTTTAGCATGATTTAGACGATGTCAAATATGTTTAACAAAAGTGAAGAAGATGTTAGTGGTTAATTAAATATGCGATTAAACTGTGAAGAAAAAGTTCCTTAAAATCATCCCGCTAGATTATATTTTTAGTTTTCTTCTCTATTACGCTTTCATAGTGTAGAGTTTTTTAAATGGAATTTCAAATTTATTCATCATAGTAGAAAGAATATAATCATATATGTACAGCCTAATTTATAATACGAAACTTATTGATGATAGTGTAAATTAACATTGATTAAATCATTATCACTACAATTAAAGTAAAGAATAAGAATAAGAAATACATAATAATAAACTAATTCCAGACTCAGAAACTCGTTTAAAATTACCTAATCTTTTTCGTCGATCTGATTAACCATTAAGAATTCGGGGTTGCTCCAGGTTCAGTGATCATAGTGAGCTCTTTGGCCTTGCCAACACCATTAGAGTTTTGGTAAGAAATGCTCTTAGATCATTTCTTTTTCGTAATATCTAGTGATCAAACATATACCAAATTATTGGACTTTCATATAATTTTACATTGAAAAATCCCCCAAAATGGGAAAATAAAAAACATTCCCGAATCTATGTATTCCATATCTTTATCTCGATTGTTATAAGAATGTAGCCAACTATATAATAGCAACATATATAAGCCTTGCAACATAACGTCATACCTTAACAAACTGAGATATACAAGTCTGAGCTTTAAGAGCTATAGTGCATAGAGATTTTACCAGGAGATATACAAGTCTACATTTTCGCTCAACTCGCAAAGATTTTATAAACTAACTTCTTTACCGCAATGGCATCAAGTTCAATTCTCGGAGCAGAAGCACAAAACCGCATGACTACAAAAAAAATTCTTGGAATTGATTTTATCATGATAACAACAGTCTCCACCATCGTCACCCATCCATTCTCACATATTTTTTGTTCCTTTTTTACTACCAAATTTAAAGTTAACCTAGAATAAGAAATGATATAAATAACTAACAATTAATACATAATGCAAAGAATTTAAAAATAAAGAACTAATAAGATATAAAAATAGATAATTAAAATTTTAATGACGCTAAGTAATATAACTTGAGTTTAATGAATTTTTTTCTTGTGTTTAATGAAAAGATTAATAAATATTTAATAGTTTAGTAAAATGTACAATAATTAAAAATATTCAAAATAAATAGAGAAGTCTATAAATTTGGAAAGGCAAAAAATCTATTATTATATTGTTCTCCTTTACATTTCATCAAACACACTAATTTGTTTTCCTATTTTAGATCAATAAGATCAAATTTAGAATAATTATCAAAAAATGATTCAAACAATAAACAATGAGTGATAAATAACCACACAATATCTTACAAAAAATCATCTGAAATAAAATAATAAGACACAATAATAAAGAAACAAAAGTCGAGACGAGTGCCACAGTACATAATTTTTTTACACAAAACACATAAATACATACTTGATGACATATAAAAGTTGGATATTAAATTTTGTGAAATTCGTAAGACAAAAAACAATAAATAATTAAAAATACTATATAATTGTCCAACTACTTTTCTAATATATTATAATATTTATATATCAAAATAACATAGAATATATATAATTAAAATTAAAATTTAAACAAAAAACTTGGGCGTAACCCATGGCGTTGGTAGTATACCTGCCAAGTGTCAATTTTTGCTCTCCCATGAAGGAAAAAAACTCAACTTTAATATTTATTACTAGGTGATTTTCCCGTGCTCATGCACGGGTATGAATATTCATAAAAGTAAAATATTATAATAATCCATTGATATTTAGTTTTAGAATTCAGCTATAATATTTTGGATCAATAGTCGGTTTGGTTATCAATTTTGTATATTGGAAATATCTATTTTTCAAATTCAGCTATAATATTTTTTATTCTAAATATTAAAAAATTTTGTTAGTTTTCTTATTTTCATTTCGGGGTGTTATTGTCTTAAGATATGTAAATATATTCTTAGATATGTAAATATATTATAGTTAAATTATGTATAACTTAATATATATATTGTGCTTAAAATGAAATAAATAATAAGGTAAAGCGTTTGATTCAAAATTACATAAATGAATATAATGAGAATATTTTGAAGTCTCATGAATATATATATAAATTCTAAAAATAATTAAATTGTAATTGGTTGATATTTGTTTTTAATATGCTTTGAGTCAACCTCTAATTTATATGTATAAAATTAACTATATTATTATTATTATTAAATTAAATGTTCTTATTGCAGTTAGATGTTTAATTTTGGATATAAATTAGATTAGTGGAGTCATTCATTTTGTGAGTATATTGAGTTAAATATATTTTTGAAATTAAAACTGAAGTATAATTTTTTATTTTAGTTAAGTCAAATGAAATTAGTTTTATTTTTCTCTTAGATATATATGTATTTTCATAATATTTATTTACTCTTAATTTTAGTTAAGTCAAATCAAATTAGTTTTTTTTATCGCTTATTTTCATAGTATTTATCAAATTATATTTTGATTTGTTTTTAAAAATATTAGTAAATAAAGTGTAACTGATAAATTTTTGGATGTTCATGAACATATATATTTTTATTATTTTGAAAATATATTTTATGTTATTTAAAAAAAAATATTAATGGGGGTATTACTATTTTGTGAACTTTACTTTTTAATAGAGTCATAGTATATATACATATAACTTCGTTTTTAAATTTGTTTTAACATTTTAGAAATATTTCCTTTTTATTATATATGTTTTTGAAAAAGGTAAAAAAAAACTAAATAAAAACAATTAGGTGTTTTGCATGCACTTGCGGGCTTGATAATTTTCTAATATCTATAAACAAATATAATCAATTTAAGTAAATTATCTATACTATTAAAAGTGAAGACACCCTTGAAAAATCGACTGATGGAAGTTGTGTCCACCCTCATTAATGGCATTTTCGTAATTTGTTTTTGGTCTTACATCTATATATATATCAATTGTTACAAATCATATCACATATTAAATATAACCGATTTATTCTCTCTTTTCCCATTAATTACTCTAACCATATTCCATATTATATTTCATACATTTTCATTGTCTTATAAACTTTATATTACGGTTTTAATCTATAGATTGACTACATAAATATTTATTATAATATAAATTAATTCTATGGTGTTCAGTACTCTCACACTTATAAATGTTTACATATTTATAAAATAAATTGTAATAAATTGTAATTTTAAATCATAATGTATAATTCAATATAATGTATAATAAAATGAACAAAAAATAATATTGTTTTTATCAAATAAAAATATACTAAATTATATTTTAATATAGTAATTTATATATTATATTAAATATAATTTTTTATTCTTTTAATATATATTTTAATATTTTGCATTAATAAATTGAAGTATGTTGTAAACTCTATGAATATATGTTGTCATGAATATGTAATTCTTTTAATTTATAGTCTATAAAATAATTTTAACTAAGTTATTGTATATATTATTTATTGTAGTAATTTAATTATGAATATGAATAATGTATTTATAAATATTATAGTAATGGTATTTCTTATTTAATAAATCCAAATAAATTAAAATTAATTGTAATAAAATTTAAAAGTACATTTATTATTTAAAATAAATATTAAAACAAGAAATATTTATATTTTACTGAAAAAGATATTAAAAGATATCGTCAAAATGAAATATTAGAAAATATCTTGGTAATATCTTTGATATCTGATTTTAAAATATTTAAATAATATATTAATATTGTTATTGAATAATAACTAAATTTGTTATATGCAAGATAATTTCAAATATTTTTGTATTAATTTTTCTTCATATGTCGATATATCATCATTCTCATGGTGACATTTAATGGATGAGATACGTTTTGTTAAGAAAATAATGCAAAAAACTATTTTCTATAATTATCTTCGTACTAAAATAAATGAATTGCTTCATATACAAGTTTATAAATTAATCACAATCAATATCGTTGTTAGTTATTCTTTGTTTGGTTTTCATAAATTTTGGTAACTTACCGTAGTTGTATTACCATTAACTGTTAAACTTTAAACTTCTTAACTAATTCAAAATATCTTCAAGAAATATTCCTTATTCCTCGAAAGAGATATTTTTTAAAATCTTCTAAATATTCTTTCCTACATTTGCGTAACTTAAAATGTATATCGTCTCTACCTATTATAAATATAGTCTCTTTTAACCACTATATTCATCATTCATTGAAAAACTTAAAAGAAAAATGGCGAATAATTGCAGTTGTCGTAATAGAAAACCGAGGAAGACTGCATGTCGCATCCAAGTCAAAATCTTTCATACATGGAGACATTTCATGAAAGACATAGGGGAGACCATGGAACTAATCATTTGTGATGCAAATGTAAGTTTATCGTTTTGTATAGATTTATGATTTAGATATCATCATTTTGTAAAAGTGTAACCTAAATGATAATGTTTTCTAAGCGTGGGTCAAAACATAAATGATAATATTCTTCCCTATATTTATGGAACAATTCTTCTATTTTTAAAACTATATTATTTTGAATCATAAATGTTAATAATTTTCTTATTGGTCAGTTTTCTCCCATTTTTATAACTTATCTCCATTGTTGTGTATCTATCTAACACGAGTATATTTTTATCTAGATGTTATTGGACAAGTTCAAGACTTGGGTGATCTTGAAACGATAGGGTGTAGTGGTGGGAAACAAAAGAATAAGTTGGAGTTCAGTCTCGTGGAAACCATAAAAAAAATTTCTATGGTTAATAGTATAAAGTTAGTATCCCTACCTATTATAAATTTCTCAAGCGCGGGTCAAAACAAAATTGCCGAAACATAAATAAACTATATAATTCGGTTAACATATTTATTGAATTTAACTACAAATTTGTAATACAATTTTGGGTATTTTTAATAGTATTGATTTTCAAGTTTATTATAGGTCATGGATCCATCCAATTTTGGTTTCAATCTAATATGTGTTTTAATTCTTCAAACTCTCACAACACTTAATTTTATGATTATCTGTTCAACCACAAGCTGACTCGGTTATGCAAACTAAATGAAAAGACTCTACTAAAACGTTAAATATACATCAAATTTTGCATATAAAACTATCATATAATAGAAATCGGATCATTTTATACATTTTGTTACAACCGAAACAAAACCCGCGTTTTTCAAGCGCGGGTCAAAATCTAGTAATAAATTATTGTTCATACACTCAAAATATTTAATAGTAATCTACACAAATTCTTTCTATATATAAAATTTTTCATCATCATATAAATAATTGTCACACAAAAATTAAATGTGAAAATACTCATAAATTTAAAATATTTAGTAGTAAATTAATATCATTTTTAGACATAACAAAAAAGTATAATAAATTTATCTTTAGTAATGTAAACTATCTATACATAAATTCTTTGCGAATTTTTTTTTTCATAATTAAATATATATTAACAAATATAATTATTTTTCAAGGTTAATAAAGACTTATAACACAATTATAAAAATTAGATAATGATAATTATCAAATTCATGAAATTTGTTTTTAATTTAGAATTAATTATATATTAACAAATATAATTATATTAAATATAATTATTTTTCAATGTTGATAAAGACATAATATAAAAATAAATAAATAAGGATGATTACCAAATAAATGAAATTCGTTTTTAATTTATAATTAATGATACATTACTAAAATTGTAATTATATTTCAAGGTTAATAAAGATTTATAACCCAATATAAAATAGTTTTAGATAAATATAAATATAAAATCATTGAAATTCGTTTTTACTTATGTTTAATTATATATTGAGATTTTTAATTATTATATAGTAATAAATCTTTTTTTTGGTCAAATAGTAATAACTATTAGTCATTATATAGTAATAAATCTAGTTAGTCATTAAGTTTATATTTGCTTTGTCATTAAGGGTAGTAAAAATTATAAGAACATGACAATTAGATTTACTAACGTTAATGGCGAAGCAAACATGAACTTAATGACTAATTAGATTTATTACTATATAATGAATAATTAGATTTATTATAATCATTAGTCTAGATAATGATAATCATCAAATCATAAGAAACATGACAAATAAGATTTGTTTCTAAATATTATATAGTAATAGATCTAATTAGTCATTCTATAGTAATAAATCCAATTAGTCATTAAGTTTATGTTTGCTTTGTCATTAAGGGTAGTAAATCTAATTAATATACGGTTCATAACTATATAATAATAATTTTAATAGTCATTAATTAAGGGTAATAATTAATCATTAGTCAAAATCATAAAAACATGATAAATAAATATAATTACATAAAATTATGGAGAATATGATAAATCAGCAAATTCACTTTTTAAATATAACTAATTTATTGTTACTTATATATTAATTCAGTTTTAGTTTATGGTTTATTAATATCAACTATTTTTAGATAATAATGATCATCAAATCAGTGAAATTTGTTTCTAATTTATGGTTGATTATATATTAATTAAATATATTTTTCTGATAAAAACACAATATATATATGAATTATCTTTTTATTTTATTTTGAAATGTACATTTAGATTATGGATAATTCTTATCATATTATTAATTTAAATTATTTATCTAATAAATATAAATTCGTTTTTTTGGCTGATTTATATATTTTATCAATTAAGGGTATAAACGATATTAATCACTCCAACTTTTAAGTTGGAAGTTCAGTTGCGAAAAATCAATTTGCAAATAATAGTATAGATAATAATAATCTTAAAATCTAACCGTTCATTAAGGGTATCTATTTAATCAACCATGACGAGAGTTAACGTGAGTGCGGCACATACGAAAGTGATTTCTCAAATAATATTATAGAGATTATTAAAGATAAGTATAAAATCAAACCGGGTTGGTGGATCCAAGATCGTCTCGATTCCACAAACCGTCATCGAACCAACAGCTAACATAAAAAGGGTGTCGTTGCTATCCCATTTTCCATCTACAGTGCAAGTCTCGTATAAATATACGCATCAATTACTTTGATTAGCTCTAATAGCACAAAGGCAATCCATCGGACAGCGTTACTGTTGACGACGAAGTCGATTCGTTGGTTGGTGGTAGTCAGATTCCATCCCCCCACAGTCACGGTTGGTTCTTCTTCTTTGCCGTCTTTTTTTTTTTTTTTAACTGTTGGTTTTGTTCTTAATAAACCACATCAGAAAACATCGAAAACCCTAGCGTGACTAGTAATTTACATGTGTTTTTTATTTTTTGAAAAAAGGCATTACATGTGGTTTTAGTCTTGCTCTTTTTTTTTATATCTTCACCCCAAACTTTGATGTATATTATGAGCTTCATCTGGTCTGATGGAGTGTTAAAAATACTTATCTTTGCTTGGTAATATAGAGAATTTGTAATACGTTAAAGATATGGTTGAACTAGTACTTGTCTTTCTGAAACTTGTATTGTCAATATTTTGTTATGCAGAATATTTTGGTATAGATCAAAAAAAGATATGGTTTGGAAAGTGAACGCGAATCAGGCTCGTTCCGCGTTAAAGAAAGATGAGATAAGCCAATTACCTAATGATGTGACATGTCAGATAATTTCTCTTCTCTCCACAAAGGAAGCTGTTAAGACTAGTGTTTTATCCACTAGATGGAGGCATATCTGGCTGTCGCTTCCTTGTTTGGAGTTGAAATCTCGAGAATTCTCAGATCTCGAAAACTTTATGAGTTTCGGAGACAGATTCTTCGATTCCAGTAGGGTTTCATCCATACAAAAAGTCAAGTTAACTATTGATAAAAAAGACGTCGACGGCGACGATAGTTATTGTCTCGCGTCATGGTTCGATGCTGCAGCTAAGTGTAAGATCCAAAATCTACATGTTAGTTCTTACTCTTACGCAGACCGTAAGTTTAACAAGATGCCACAAAGACTTTATAACTGTGAGACACTGGTATGCTTAAAACTCTTTCAAGTGGCCTTGTCTGATGCTGAGATTGTTTCCTTACCTTGCCTGAAGAAAATGTACTTAGAATATATTGACTTTCCCAATGAGGCAACTTTTGAGACGCTTGTCTTATGCTCCCCCGTGCTGGAATGTTTAAAGATTGTCGTATCTAGTGATGATGAAAAAGTCTTTAGGGTGCAGTCTCGGTCGTTGAAGAAGCTCACTTTCGAACGAACTTTTTCTTTAATATCTGATTCCGCAGGAGTTGTTATTGATTGTCCTCGACTAGACATTTTAAACATCAATGATAACGTATCAAAAGGCTTCATAATACACAATTTGGGGTGCAACGCCGTCTTACAAATGAACCTCCTCGGTATGGTCCGTTGGGAAGAATTTGATGATGAGTTAGACAATGGTATTTATGAAGAAGGCGTTTCATGGAATAGAAGTAACATCCATAGGTTTATCCATGGGATCTCGATGGTCAGGAGTATTAAAATAAGTAGAGGCACCTTCAAGGTACACATATGTTATATGTTAGTATAGGACATGTATATTTTCTATCAGAAAATCTTTTCACCCTAGATCTGTCTCACCTACGTTTTTTTTTTCTTTTTGGTTCCAGATTATGTGTCAATACTCGAAACTGGAACCGCTGCCTCAGTTTGGTAACATGTGCTACCTGGATATCACTCTTTGTCTACACGATTTTAAATGGTTACTAGCTTTTCTTGAGAGCTTCCCAAACTTGAAGTACCTTGTCCTGGTGATGGTCCCTATGTGATTTTTTTTTTTTTGAATAAAATCTTTATGAAACATGTGCGTATATTTTCATTGCCTATTAACCTTCTCTTTTTTTTTTTTTCTGCTTAGGTATGCGATGGCAGGAATGGTTTTCCTAGGGAGAACGTTGATCAAGTGAGTTTCTCATCTGTGCCTGAGTGTTTGCTATCGTCTCTCGAGTTTGTTGATTTTATAGCTACAGTCCAGTATGATGTTGAAATTAAGCTGGTAAAGTACTTGGTCAAGAATTCAGCTGTCCTCAAGAAACTCACTTTACGTTTGGCTTCTGATTCAAGAAGAGATGAAATGCTGAAGAAACTCCTCAAAACCCCAAGAGCCTCTACCAAATGTAAAGTCTTCATACTCTGATTTGTAGAGGGGATAGCGTGGGTGTGTTTTGATATGTAAAAGGTTGGCTATGCTTTTACATGTAAAGACATTGATGAAATTGAGACTAGATGGCAACGGTTTTTGCTCATACAAGTTTCTGAACTCCACATGATTTCAATCTTAGCGTTGGGCTAAATATATCAAATTTAAAATGTTGGACACAAGGCTGGTTGGACATGATAAATTAGAATTCTCATGAAATCTAAAATAAAAAAAAGTTGGCAAACAAAACATGAACTAACGAAAAAAAAAACAAACTCCAACTCATGACAACTGTACGATAAAATAAACATCAATCCTTTTTTGATCAACCAATTTAGCTTAGTCATCAATAATAAAGTCATAAGAATTTATACAACACATGAACCAACGAAAAAACAACAACAGAATTTGCCTAAGCAAGTATACAATAAAATAAACATCAATATCTAACTCACAAGTATACAATAAAATAAAATAAACATCAATTCTTTTTTAATCAAACCAATTTATAGTTTAGTCAACCGTAATGTCATCAATAAAAGTTAATAGAATTTTCCTAAGCAAAAAGATCAAATTGGTTAGTACAAAATAAAACAAGAGCAGCTAACCACAACCGAATTGATGGGTAGTGGATAACAGGCTCAAAAGGCCTAAAGAGGACTGTAATAACCCATGACTTGGCCCAAAAATTTTATTAAAGCAAATGGACCTGTCTACGGCCCAGTAAGACAAAAGACCTAGGGTTCCTTGCCTTCACCCTATATAAAGAGCTGCCTCCTCCTTCTTTTGCCGTAGTCACCAAAACAGAAGCGAAGCCCTGCAGAGAATTCCCGGAGACTGGAATCCCTAGCCGTCAAGCCTCTCCCTCTCCTGCGCCGCCATCTCTTACCCCCTCCTCTTCTTCTTTCTCTCGTCGGATCTCTTCTTCCTCCTTGCCGCGAGTCGCCATGAGAGTAAGCCAAGCTGCCGGTGGGTGTGGTGGTGGTGTTCGTCCGAGTGGTGGTGGTGGTGGTAGCCGTGTGGTGGTGAAGACTGATCTCGTCCTCTTCTTCCTCTTGTTCCAGATCCAGATCTCGTTCTTCAGATCCAGATCTCAGATCTATTGCTAAGGTGAGGTGACTCGACCTAGATCTGTTCTCCTATTCTCTATTCTAGCTGATGGTGGAACTAGGGTTTGGCTAGCTATTGTTTGAAAGTTAGGATGATAGATCATATAATGGGAGCTAGGTTGTTAGATGATTGAATCATGATGCATAAGAACCCTCACACTGTTAAATGGGACTTAATGGACTGCCTTGTGTTGATGTGGATAATGATTGCTATGAATATTTGTGTGAATGTTTGATGTCCCATATGTTGATTGTGAATGGAAACTAGGTTTTTAGAGAAAAGTGATTGATATGATAACTCGTGGTAGATGTGCATGTGGTATGAGATAGGTGGAAGTATGATAATATGATGCTAATGATATGGTTGCTCTATGAAGTGTAATGTGTGAGACACCGAGAATGGGTGGCGTCTAGAATGTAGGAAAGAGTCTAAGTGTCAATGAATGAGTTGAAGTGAAAGTTAAAGTGGAAGTGAACGTGAAAAGGAAATTGAATGAGTAAAGTGAATGAGTAAGTGAATGAGTAAAGTGAACGAGTAGAGTGGATGAGTAAGGTGAATGTGAATGAGAATGAGAAAGTAGTCGAGGCAATGAACATGTTTGTAGTCTTGTTTGGGCCACCGAGAACGGGTGGGCGTCTAGAGTCTAGGATGTGATGGCCCAACGGAGGACGTTCCCGTGGGCGGAAAGTGAAAGGCTGTGTACGGACGGCGACCGCCAAGGCGGGGTAAAGTTAGGAATAGGCGCCTTAAGATCGAGTCAATGCCGAGTCGTGGTAAATCGTGACCATCTGACCGTGTACGGACGGGAGCCGCGGGTAGACAGTGTTGCACGTGGGCCTACGGGTGACGCACGTGGACCAACGAGCTCCCCGCGGGTGGTTACTAGGAAGCTGGAGGGGGGAAATGGTTTCTCCTGAGTGGGCACCCCTTTCAGGATAGGCCGGAACGTGTGTGGGACATCCGTAAACGGCCATAGGTCCTAGAGGTCTAGGTTGATTGATGAGTCTAGTTAGAAGGGATGATTGTGTGAATGAATCTATGTGAAGTGATGGCTGAGCCCTTGCAAATGTATGAACGTTAGGGTGCTAGAATTCTATGTTGAGATGTTGTTGTATGGCTTGTTTGATGCATATTGATTGTAGTGGTTAGTCAGTCCTGTTCTCCGTATGTGGTAGCGTAGAGTATCATGCGGACAGGCTGGTCTAAAGTCACTTCACTGAGTAATCCCAATTGCTCATCCCTCCATCTTTACTTCCTATGCGCAGGACCGTATGTAGAAGTATGTGGATAAGGGTGGATCGAATTTCATTAACAGATGCGTCTGCCGACTCCTGGGGCCAATAAGGACACGTAGGGTTGTCTAATTGAGTAGACACGTGTCCGTAGCACCCGTTTGCTGAACTCCGGTCGGGCGCCAGGGGAACGGGTTGTTACAAGGACGATCTTTACTTAGGAATAGAAAAATGCCAAATCATTGATTCTGTCTTTATTTCGTTAGTCATCTTCGTCTGCGTCTCTGCTAGAATCTGTAGGGTATTTATTTTGTTTCCTTACTCACTCTTTTTTTTTCCCGATAAAACCATATTTTTTATGAACTTGTTTGTGTGGATTTCTTGTAGTGTAGAATGGAAGAGAGGCTGCTGATGATTTGGATTTCTACTCATGTTAGAAGAGAAAGACAGAGAGCTGCATGCATGCTGGTAAAACTGGATAACAAAGCTGTATGTTGTTCGGTTCTTCATATATTATGAGTTCTAAACTTCTATCTGAATAGTTATACTAATAGGGTCTTCTAAGAAAACAAAACCAAGAACTTGCTTCTCTCGGGTAGGTGTCTTTTCTATTCTTGAAACTATTCTCTTCATTCTCATTCTCCATTTAGAATTACAGATTATCCCTTTCACTTGTACGTTGAGGTATTAGAGAATAAGTAACAAGCAATAACTTTTTTATTTCTCAATATGCAGAAGGGAGCGTGATCACTCTGATGCTGAGAGGTAAATGATCTCAACTCCAGGAGCATTTTAAAGATAAAGAGAGACAATACGCTGAACTGCAGGAGCAGCTTAGCTTTAAGGATGTTATGAATCGTGCAGTTATATTTAGTTTCATTTTTGGCAAATGAAATACACTTAAAAACGTAGTCCTTACCCTAAATGCCTTCGTAGAATAGGATAGCTCAAGAAACAGTCATGTACAACTGAGAGACGCGCACGGCTGGATTGCGCGTGCTCAAGAGATGGGTGCTTTACAATCAATCATCTACAAATCACTCCTTGCACTCTGAACTGCCAGAACGTACCGAGCAGTATAACCACCTGATCTGGCTTGGTTGCTAAATACAGGTTTGTTATTTTTTTCCTTCTTCTTGAGATGATAATTATCTCATTTATGTTTTTCTTTCTCATTGAAATCTAGTTTCGGAGATGGAGAGAATGCATGTGCATACACTGCAACAATTTGAGCGTGCCAATAATCTAAAGGAAGGAGGTGGCTTGAAAACGAATATCACAGTTGCCTATTCAGAGTCATATGCATCCATCTCAAGGCGTTCGTGGCTTGGTAAGTTCTGATGCAAAGAGTGAATACCAAGTTCATGCCAATGCACAGTCCCTTGGTCAAGGGTATCAAACTAGCCATGGAGCATATTTCCGATCAATTACACCATCCTCTAAACAAGTAAGGGATGCTCTTGTTAATACATGATACTTGTTCAAACGATAGTATCTTAATGAGTAAGTAAAACCTTAACAGGTACTGGTATCTGGCAATGGATACAATGAGTATAACTTTCAAAACATTTCTCACAGTTCCGTGATGCGCTAGATTCCAATTCCTAGCACCTCTGCACTGGCATGATTACAAAAATGAACGGGAAGCTGGACGATTTTGTTGCTAGTCATCTCGAGGTTTGTCTCATGATCCCAATTCCCAAACCTTTTTTTGTAACACAAATTATATTATAAAAGGCTCAATGAGCATCAATGTCTAAAACTGAAGCAAAAGACTCCGGAGCAGAGCTCGACGGTAAAACAAAGCTAAAAGACATTACGAAATAAGTGAAGATAAAACCATTTCGGGGCGAGTCATGCTCAGCGAAATGAAGAAACCCAAAATAAATCTCCACTTTTGTTCCCATGACGATTGTTCGAAAGAACAATTGATAGTCGAAAACGACATTGATACACCTATCAGAAGTCGTTGAAATGTTGATTGGCAAGAACTTTAGGTGAGAAGCTCCAGAACCGTAGGCAACATTGAGAGTGAGAAGTCCTATTTGACTTGATATAACACTGAAACTAGCACAATCAGCTTTAAACCCAACAAAGCTAACCGAAGAGAATATGTGAATCTCGAGCTTTAGCTTTGCCTCCAAAGAGACACTTAGGATAAGGTTTGATGACATCGATGACGGTTGAATTAGGTTCAAACTTTGGAACTCAACATTACCGTGTTGAGTCAAATAATTTGGGACCAGAAACCTAAGCATATTGTCATCACTCGTTCAACCAGAATTTGTGTGAGCAAATATCGGATAAGAGGTAAACAGCTTTGGGTTGGTTGGATCTATGTGCTACCACTCCGGTTTGAAAGTCGCGTAGTTGACTCTGTAAAGAACCGTCGATGCTTGAGACGGCGTATTGTGATGAAAGTGCAACGGTGATATAGCTTGTAATTCTGGCGAGTCCACACTCTTGCACAATAAGGTCATCGACGAGGAGAGCGAGAAGGCCGGAATTCTGGCTTTGTGAAGAACCGTCGATGCTTGAGACGACGTAATGTTATTGAGACGCTGTGAGAAGATATAGTCATGAGCAGATTTAGCGAAACAACACTCTTGCACAATAAATCCGGCGGTCACTAGGAGAATAAGGTTTAAACTATGTACTTTTGCTCCATAGAAACCATGGCGAGATGGATCTGCCTCGGTGTTAAGTGTATCGGTGATGAAAAGACTGAGGCAGCAAGCGAGGGTTGGGAAGAGGTGGTGGAAAGGGAGAGTCGATGCCGAGATGATAAAACCGCTAAGTGAACGGCGTTTCCAGATTAGTGTAAGCGTCAGAGCTTTAACCACGAATACTATTGGGAGATGAGGCGTGAGAGACTGCGGAAAAGTGGAGGTGTAAGGGTCGGAGGAGGAGCGTACCAGATCCCTGCGGGATGAGGTTCAGATCCAGAGCTTCCAAGTTGACAAACATGGCAAACTTGGCGGTGAGAGAGAGCTGACGGTGAACGGACTGAGAAGTCCATTGCCGAGGTGATAGATCCCCAGAGACTAAGCTCGTTTAGAGGAGATCTCTGGAGGTTGAAGTAAAGCGGCGGTGACAAAGGATGTCGAGAAGAAGCGAGCCTATCTATGGACAGATCCGGTTTCAACAAGTTGCAGAGTGAGAGGCTGAAGGAGGGTAGACGGCAGCAAAGTCGGAGAGTCACCAGCAGAGGAACGAGCTCTGAACCAGAGAGTTCTTTGGCGGATCTTTCTCTCGTCGATGAGTCAACGACAACAAACGCAGAAGAGAAACTGTAGATGCAACAAGAAACAGAGAACTTTGACGACATTGAGAGGAGAGAGCAAAGGAGGCGACGCCGACGGTCTCTCACCCCGTCGACGTCGGAGATTGGAAAAGATGCGGCTGTCTCGGAAATGATGCAATGGAAACTACGTATCACCAATGGAAACTCTCAAGCTAGCTTCCACTTAAGCCGAGTGTTGGAGGAAAGCCAATTTACCCGAAGACACAGAAGAAGAGGAGCCTCAGACTGCCCCTTCCACTAACTTAACTCTCCCTACAAACCCCCAAAGTCTGACCTGTCAAATCGATATCTCATGGGTAGAAAATGGCACGGTCAGTGGCCTAAGGTGGTTATATAAGGATCAAATGGGAGTCGAGAGGTTTGGACTTCAAGGATGCCGGAAAAGCCTTTCACCACTCCATGCTGAGATGGAAGGACTCATATGGACAATGTCATGTTTGCTAGACCTACATTGCACCGTTGTCCGTATGGAGACAATTTGTTCTGAACTAGTGGACATGATTGCAAACCCACCCGACTGGCCGGCATTTGCCTCGGAGTTAGTCTTTTTTCATCGTTTACAAGTTCGATTCTCGGCTTTCAGCATTGCCCGCATACTCAGGACCAGGAATTTCGTGCGGATTCTCTCGCCAAGGAGGCAAGATGCAATGGTACTCTCTTTTCCATATAGATCAGACCCAGCCGGACGGAACGTCTCTTTGGAACGACTCATGTCCGACTAACACTTGATCGTAAACAATGGACATCGACAAAAAAAAATTATTTTATAAAATATAAATAACTATTATAAAATCATTTACATAAAACTAAATATATAATATTACCATAATTTTATACTATATGTTTGAAAGAATAGTCATAAATATTTTTTTTTGTATCATCCATTTTTTTTGCTTCACAAAAAATCATTTATAACATTTACATTGACAGAGAAATATATATATATATATATATATATATATATATATATTACTGTTTGTTTATTTTATTCATGATAATAAGTAATATAATTAAAATAATCAATACTTGTTTTTAAATTGTTATTTTACAATATTTATATAACAATTTAACAAATTCATATATATATTATTTGGTAATTTATATTTTATTATTTATACTAAATACTGTATTTTTATTTTAGATATTTTAGCATTCAATCAAATATAATAATTTAGTAATTGTTTGGTGAATGAATTTTTAAATTTTGATATAATCTAGTTGATCTGCATATTCAGTGATCTGTATAGCTTTGTTTAGGCATGTTCAATTATATTTATTTTTATAGTAAATTGTAGTTTTATATGATAAGAAATCAAATTTATTAAAGCATAAATAATTTTTTTCTTCTAAATTCTACTATAATATTTCATGTTTGGTTTAACTATTAAAAAATTATAAAATTTCAATTTCATAAAATTATTGAATAACTATATTTTAGTACAAATATTTACCATAAAAATTATGTTTATTTATTTTGATGAATATAAGATGAATGGGAGTAGTATTATATATCCAAAAACTCTCCGGAAGATAGCAAGCATCATGCATGATAAATAAGAAAAGAAAAGGCTCTCTTCACAATTACACCTGCACGTTGGTAGCAAATACTCTTCACTCGAAAGGCATAAGATGGCCGAAACCATGCACCTTCTTGTTGTTAATTATATGACTGTTCAAATCAACATACAAATTCCTTGCCTTGCCTGCAAGGGTGTCGCCGAGAGTGGTAAGGCAACCTTTTAGATGTGTGGTACAGCAATCGGTCCTTGTCCTGGACCTCCAGGACTAGTGGGATTCTCGGATCTGGATGACCCATGTCATAAGAAAAACATTTAAATTCCAAAAATAAAAATAAAAATAAAATAAAAAGTGTTCTAACTAATAACCTTTGGTCAAGTATTTAGTTAAGTCAAGAAAAGCCATTTTTCTTTCTAACCCCTCCAGACGATCAAACCGTTCTAGAGAAACAAACACTTGATCAGACTATTTCACGACAAACTACTTGTTCAAATTTTAGTAGTTCATCGTTATTAAATATTAGCAAGACTAGGTAATTGTCCAGGTTGTAATTCTTTCGATGTCACCTTTTAATTGCATATAAGATCGAGCGAGGGACTACCACTTCTTTTACTCACATTGCAAAGTCAAAGCATTATTAGTTTTACACGAATTGTTGTTAGTATTAGCAAATTTCCTATATAAACAGCACAAAGCCATATCTTCCAGCATATATATATTTATCGAATTCTCTTACATTTATTGTTATCTATACAAATTATGATGGGAGTAATGTCTCAATCGCTTTTCAATCTCAAAACTTCCTCTTGCTCTCTCAATAACATAACTGTAATGTAAGTCAATTCATTTTGTATAACCTAGCATTTTATATTTTGTATGGTTAATTCTTTTGAAATATATAGCGTTTTGACTTGAATGACAATTCGTAATTTTTTTACTATTGCAGGAGAGGATACATTTTGATCAAAAAGGCTTCTCAAAGGGCATATGCAGTAGGAAGCAGCAGAGAGAAGCCATCGTGGACAGCAGATTGTGAAACCGGTTACTACAGACCTGAAACCATAAAAAAAGAGGTAGATTCACACGTTGTGACAACCTCTAAAAGTGAAGTTAAAATGAGGAGAGGTAAAGAGTTATGGTGGATGCCTGATCCGCAAACCGGATTCTATCGACCTGACACTTTTGCGAGAGAGCTCGATGCCGTTGAGCTACGGTCAATGCATTCCAACCACCGAGAATAAAAAGATCTTGTGAAAGGTAAATGATCTCTACATGTGTGTTTTCTTTCTGATTCTATAGTTCATCAATTTTGAAGTGTGATTTAATAAGTATTGGCAAATGTAGTGACTTTATCTTAGCAGCATGACATGTTCAATAAACAAGTTGGGTTTCTATGTGGTGAATCTTTCAATAAACAAGTTGGGTTTATCTGTCACGTCTTATATATTTACTTATGAAAAGAAATAAAATAATAAGATACAGTGTTCAATAAACTAGATTTTTTTAGACATAATGAAGTTCTTATAAAATCTACGCAGGACCATGTGAAAATTTACTAAATAGGATTAAACACGAATGTGATAATTTACCAGAGATCTCAAAACTAAAAAAAATAAAAATTCAGAATAACATGTATTATTTATTTCAACAAGGTGCTTCTATAAAATATACACAAAATAAGATACAATGGAGTGTGAATGTGTATTCTAAAATCAACGGCAAAGCTGAACACATAAGCTATTAATCCGTGAATCCGAAGGATTAGCCAAAATATATGATCCTGACTTCCCATTCCTCAAACAAGTTATGCTCAACTGATTTCCTAATTGAGTCGTCTGCACCAAGAAATATAAAGACTCTTAGAGATATGTTGATTAGAGACCCTGAAAGAATCTAGATAATGAAAAATGGATATAAAGATTGTTACCGTGCAAGAGGCAGGTTCTCGGTTACAGCTCCATCTAGAAGTTGGAACACATGAAAGATAATGACACCATGAGCAATGTTTGTTTCCATCCACATTGTTAAAAAGTGAGACCAAACCAGTAATGAACCTGACAAGGAAACAAACACGTTTTATGTTATCTTTACTGTAAGATAAACAAACAGACTGGTTTATAGTTTATATTATGTAACAACTTACCAACCAAGCAAGAGGAGAAGAGAGACGGTCCATAATATGGCCTGGCATATATTGTACTTGTGAGGTTTAGCTGCAGAAGCACTTCTTTGGTTGATCCATCCGTAATGGGGACGGATTAAGAGCACAAATCCAAGTAGAAAACCAGTACCAAATCCACCAATATGAGCAAAGTTATCTACTCCAGGGAGCACACCAAGTCCCAAGTTCACCGCCACAATCAATACAAGAGTTATGATCGTCACAACCTAAACAAAGTATTAGCAAACAACATGAACTTCCAAACTTTTATAACATCACACTGAGCTAATATGTGATATATTTTTATCTCTTTAATTATTCATAATTATTCAGAGATATTATCTCTTTTTTTGACAAAAGAACTGTTACTCAAGGTCTCTGTAACCATACCAGAATAGAATTCAGGGATTTTTGAAACATTATTTTTGTCCAAATGTGTATTGTTCGTCTAGTTGACACTCACTTTTCCTATATAAAAAGAAGCATGTCTTTGAAAGTGTATCAGTTACCTTATTAGTATAGATTGTCCAGTTAATAAAGATCTCAGAGAGCATTCCTCCAAGTAAACCAAAAACAGCACCAGATGCTCCCACAGAGATGTTTGAGCGGAGGAAAAGAGCTGACAGTATACTTCCTCCAAATCCCGATATCAAATAAAGCAATCCAATTCGTACTAAGAAAACCAAAAAAAAAATGAAAACTATAGGTTATACACATGTACCATCAAAGCTGTGTGTGTGTGTAAAACAATCGATCAAGAGTACTTACTAAAACCGAATTCACGTTCCATACGCATACCAATGAACAAAAGAGTCAACATGTTGACCAACAAGTGAACAACTCCACCATGTAACCAGTTGCAAGATAGTAGACGCCACCCTTCATCTCCTTTAACCACTTTCTTTACATCTAACCCACCCATTGTTCTTAACCTGTTTGCAAAGTAATAAAAAGTAAACCAAAATCAATCTCAAATTAGGATAAAGAAACACACTTTCTCAAAACCATACTCCTATTAACACTCCTAACGATTCTACAACTCACACTATAATCAATCTGCTACTTCTTTCAACCTATACTAGAGCAAAATCAATTTTAAAATTTCAATTTCAAATTTAGGATAAAGAAACACACTTTCTCTATACCCTACTCTTATTATACTCCCAATTGATTATACAACTCACACTAATATCAATCTGCAACTTCTTACAACCTAAACTTGAGCAACGGGTCTCTCTGCTTACGTGAGAGAGGAAGGACCAAGAAGAGGATTCTCCCTTGTGCTCTGAAACGAGAACCGACCCAAGAAACCAGCGAAACAATCACCAGATTTCTTCGGACAGTTGTTAACATACATGGTGATCACGAACACGGCAACGTTAGCGATCACGAAGCAGGGAATGAGCCAAGAGAACCAGCTACGAAACTCTTTAACTCCTCCTCTTCCTCGTTCTTCGTAAGAACTTCCTCTACTTCGATTCTGAGATCGGTGTTGGGTAGATAGAGGAGTTGATTCGACATTCATTGGGTTGGTGTTGTTCTGTCGTGTTCTTCCCCAAATTGGAGCTGTCTCTGAATCTTTCTCACCCATTGAAAAGCAATTAAAGGTTTGAACTTTGGAACTAAATTCGAGAGATTTTGAGATGGGTTTTCGCTTTTGGTCTCTATAGGGTTAATATTTGGTTGAGTTTGGACAATGAGCTAAAAGCAAGTTCTATCTTTTGTAGATTGTGTCTGAAAACAAAGTAAAGGGAAAGGGTTGGTCAACTGTCTTGACCAACTATACATCACACGGTTCCTAAACCCACCACTAAACCAATTTTCAATATGACATCACACAGTTTGTTCGTGTATGTTTCCGGTTTAGGAATAATTAATTTAGCGTGAGTTTTTTTTCTTCTTGTTTTTGGACATGACGTTTATGTAATTTATATTTTTTTTCATATCCCTCTCTCATATTTTGTATTTCTTTTTGACCACTGATTGTCGTGTGTTATTTGTGATTGGAGTTTGCAATTCCAAAAATATTAAATGTTCTTTTGATGGAAGACTTATGATCAAGCGGTCAAAATAAGAGTTTGGAGAGAAAGAAGACCGGCTGAGCATATCTATACTATTATTTGCGAAGTGATTTTTCACAACGGAACTCTCACGTTAATAATTAGAGTGGTTAATATCGTTTATACCCTTAATGAAAATTTTCTATAAATCACCCAAAAAATAAAAACGAATTTAAAATTTATTTAATTATATAAGTGATAACAATTAATAATAGTAAGGATTATCTTTTTTACCCTTAATGAAAATTTTCTATAAATCACCCAAAAAATAAAAACGAATTTAAAATTTATTTAATATATAAGTGATAACAATTACTAATAGTAAGGATTATCCTTTGTACCCTTAATGAAAAATTAATATAAATTACCCAAAAAATAAAAAAAAACGTATTCAAAATTTATTTGATTATATAAATGGTTAAAATTAATAATAAGAAGAATTATCCAAAATCTAAAACAAATATTTTAAAACAAAATAATAATTTGTATATATATATTGTGTCATTACCTAAAAATATCAGTTAGTATAAATGTAACAAATTCAAAAACAGAAAATACATAACTAAATATAATCAACTAAAATTATTAATTTTAAATAATTTAAAAGAGAATATTTAGTGGTTTTAAGTATTTATTTATTAAAAATGAATACAATATACAATTAAACTTTCAAAAAAAATATTACATAAGTAACTTAAAAGTTAGATTGGTTAATATTAATATTACCCTTAATGCACTTTTATATATAATTTATTAAGTAATTAAAATTAAAAAAAAAATCAGTTAATAGTATTAGCTTTAAATGTTATATTGGATAATTATAAATTAATAATCAAATTATTAAAATTATATATTCTTCTTAGAAAGATAATTCTTACATATACTTGTTGTTATCTGAAAATGTTTTTTAAACATACAAAATATATTTGATAAAAAACATAAAAAATATCAAAAATAAGAAGATGTATAAACAAAAAATAAATTTTGTAAACTTGAATAATGTTATTTGCAAATTATTTTTATATTATTAAGTCCGCATGAGCGGGCAAAACACCTAGTATTCTGATAAAACATTAGTTTTTTCAAATTCAAATAATTATTATTTACAGATTTTTTCTAATTATATCAAATAATTACTAAGATTATATTAGGACGGACCTTAAACGAATGCTATAAGATTAGGAACTTTTTTCTTTGCCTAATCTATTTATGGGTATTTGAGAAAAAAATTCATTTTTAATACAATAACTTCTGATACCGAAATTCAAGTTGTTATAGTTGTTGATTGTTTTCTTAAAAACTATCAACTGTTAAATATTCCACAATTTTTGTCCTCTCTTAGTTAGGTTTTTTCCTTTTAACTACCAGCTCGAATAATCTATATCAGCATTGGACTTTGACTAGAACATATCCAACCACAACCGACTTAACTAAACTGTTAGACTAATATCAAGATCCAAACTGACATAAATTTGGCCTACCAGGTTTAAAACTTAGACTGGAAAAACTAAGTTAAAGTTGCTTATACAAACATCCCAATTCCTACGTATCTGCTTTGCGTTATTGTATTTTCAGAGGCTTTCTGGACAAGATATGGAACTTGTGAAGCTACGTTCCATTTTGTTTCCCTGCCAAGTTCCATCTATCAAAATATTGATCTTTTCCTTACAAAAACTTAAGTCATATTTGGATCAATCTTTAATACTCAATTTTTTTTTTATTCTATTACAACCTAGTGTTTGACTAGTCGTTTGTAGTCCGCTAAAGAGTACCTTCCCCAGGATCAAATCAACTCCATATATAATTTGATAACAAGTCCATTAATTTAGGAAAACGAGCTCTCGTTACATATTCGGATCACGCTATTTTATTAAGGATTTTTAGTAATTTAAACCCTCAACTAAAGATTAATCGTAAAACAAACCCTCAACTAAAAATCTTGTGAAATAAACCCTCATCTTTGTGCCCGTTAATGTTTTCGCCCCTCCGTAACTTTTGTCGTCAACTTTTGACGGAGAAACGTTAACTGTTGACGAAAAGGTTATGGAGGGGCGAAAACATTAATAGACATAAAGATAGGGTTTATTTCACAGAATTTTTAGTTGGGGGTTTATTTCACAGGATTTTTAGTTGAGGGTTTGTTTTACGATTTATCTTTAGTTGAGGGTTTAAATTATTAAAAATCCTTTTTTGAGAAAATTCTATAAGTATTGATTATTTAGTAATTTTATGACCGATTTTACTCTTAAAACAAACTCACTTTTCTTTGTCAGTGAGACCTCGAAGGAGGGTAAATCTAACGTGTAGCTATTCTTGTTTTCATGTTCGCTCTTACACAAAAAAAAAACTTGTTTTTGAGATTAATGTTTGGTTTAGGTTTTGCATTAGTCAATTTGTACAAAGGAACAACCTAAGAGCGAAGTTTAAAATTCATGTATCCGATCTTCATTTTGGTGAGGAATCCATATTAGTTCAGACAACAAATTAAGTGGACCAATCTCCGTCAATTCATTCTTTCTTCTCTAACAAATCATCTCAGTTTCTCAATGCTAAAAGAGAACTTACTAATTTTAACATAAACATAAATTAATACAGAAATAATACCACAGTTAATGTGTAGAATGGTGGTTCAGTGAACGCTTCTAACATATCTATAACTTAAATTAGGACAAGTTATATTTTAGTTACCTTTTGTCTTTTCTAAGATTGGTTGGTGGGTCGGATGGAAATGCATGAGTGACTGGTTTGAGTGATGTAGCCACTGAAAATGGCATTAAAGTCGCTGTCCTTATAGAACGACCACTGTAAGATGAACATGCTGACGTAGGTTTTACCATAGCATTGAGATACTGAGATGATTTGTTAGAGAAAAAAGAACGAATTGACGGAGATTGGTCTACATAATTTGTTGTCTGAGCTAATGTGTATTCCTCACCAAAATGAAGATTGGATACCTGAATTTTAAACTCTGATCTTAGGTTGTTCCTTTGTACGAATTGACTAATGCAAAACCTAAACCAAACATTAATCTCAAAAACAAGTTTTTTTGTGAAAGAGCGAACATGAAAACAAGAATAGCTACAAGTTAGATTTACCGAAGGAATGCGAGGTCTCATTGACAAAAAAGTAAGTTTGTATTAACAGTAAAATCGGTCCTAAAATCACTAAATAATCAATACTTATAGGATTTTTTCAAAAAGAAAAAGGATTTTCAGTAATTAAACCCCCAACTAAAGATATATCGTAAAACAAACCCTCAACTAAAAATCCTGTGAAATAAACCCTCAACTAAAAATCATGTGAAATAAACCCTCATCTCTATGTCCATTAATGTTTTCGCCTCTCCGTAACCTTTTCGTCAACATTTAACGTTTCTCCGTCAAAAGTTGACGACAAAAGTCACGGAGGGGCGAAAACATTAACGGACATAAAGATGAGGGTTTATTTCACAAGATTTTTAGTTGAGGGTTTATTTTACGATTAATCTTTAGTTAAGGGTTTAAATTACTAAAAATCCTTTTATTAACTATTCAATTTAGGCTGAGCGTACCAACTAAGAGAGGAGAAGATGGAAATAATAGATAATATATATAAACATAGAAAACCTACGAAAATATTCTCAAACTTAGACCCGAACTCAACAAGAATTAACGATTGAAGAATGATATGAGATTTAACCAAAAACAAAGGAGAGTCGTCAACGTGTCAAAACCAGGAATGATGTTAAAGTAGTGGATCACCTAACCTGGAACGAAAGAACTGGTCCAAAGTGTTCGGAGGGTTTTAGGGCTAAAGCTAAAAAAAGTTAAAAACAATTGGTTAGTTTTATCCCCACAAAGTAAAAATGTCTTTTAGAGAAAAAAAAATTCAGAAACGTTTTTTTTACTGAAATTTAGACTAATTAGATGTTGACAAATGTTGTCAAAATAAGTTTTAAATTTTCTAAAACTTTGAATATATTTTGTAAAGAATTTTTGTGGTTTCGTGGGGTTTTTGTTCAGACACAACCCCAACTTTAAAGGCGGGTGTTTTACGGGGCTCACATCTTTCTATATATTTTATTTCCCACAAGTCACAACCATGTTCTAACATAAATCTCACTTTTACATCTCGTACAAAATCAATCGATAGAGATTCAAAGAAACGAAAGAGAAATTATAAGGTTGTCTAATGTTATTAGATCCTATGTTTGTTTTTCCTCATCCATGTATTGTGTTATACGATCTGATTTATGTACACATGACTAAAACATTGCGCAGGTTCAGGCTTAACCTAACCAATTTGTTGTTACGTGTGTATTATGAACATGTTGGACTGTGGTTTCGATGCGTACCTTACTCCTGTGGTTCCTAGGGCTTATAGATCACCCAGAGTACGTATATATATATATATATATATATATATATATATATACATTTCCTCTACATACAATTAGCTCACTCAATCACGCCCTTTAATTTTTTCCAGAGACGTAGACAAAAATTGATGAGTAGGAATAGATCCGAGTTCGAGGTTTTAGCCCACGTGAACGGGAACTACTCAAGCGACCGCAAGGCCTTTGAAACAAAGGAGAGAGAATATTTTACCGTAAATAACTTTTTGGAGTCAATGGAAGTTGAGGTTAAGCCTCATCAACCTTGTCGGGAGAAACCTTCTCAGATATTATTGTCTAAGGACTGGTTAGCTCTTGGTCCTTCCATTTCTAGCTCTCCAATCACACAGGAAGATAACTCCAATATCAGTAAGATCAAGTCACTCGCTCGCTACTTGGACCGCAAGTTGTTAATACAATTTTTAAGATTTTATTTGGATTTATGTAGACGGGAAAAGGAAGATTTGTTCCACACGAGAGGGAGATTGTGTTAGCCAAGAAGCGCAGAATATGTACCCCTTGAAGAAAAGAAAGTTATTTTACAACAATCATCAGCCTGAATCAAATGATGATCCGTGTCCCGGTATGGATCATATCAATTTTAAGGTCAAATCTATATATATGAACAAATTTATCTACGTAGAATTATAACTCTTATCGTATTTTTTTCAGTCAAATTTGTTATCAGTTCATTAAAAATCTCGGAGCTATTGGTGGACATTCCCGAATCAACCACGGTGGGGTCACTGAAAGTAGCGGTAATGGAGGCTGTAACACGTATTCTTAAGGATGGTCGACTAACTATTGGAGTGCTCACTGAAGGTACAACCATTGTTGATGACTCCAAAACGCTTCTTCAGATTGGGATCTCTCGTGATAATGATGACAACAACCACAACCTCAGCTCTTTGGGATTCACACTAGAACCAGAGATATCAGAAACAATAACGACAACAACGTTAACCACGGTTTCTCCCAAAACGCGACTTAGGTATGCAATCAAAATCGTTGACCAAAAAGTTCACAACTAAAACCATAATAAGTTTTACATTTTATTTTTTTTTAAACCATAATAAGTATAATCATCCGTTAATAATTATTTGTTGGTATACAGCAATCCTACAACAAATGCTCTAATAAAGTTCTTTATTATATCATATGAATAAGCATTTCTGAAAAAAGTGTTCTTGTTTTTAAACATGGAGGTCAGACATATCATGATAGTCAACTTTGTATCCCAAATTAGGGTTCATGAGTCCATGGAGAGCAGTAAAATGAGGGCAGATAAATATGTGGTTCCGGTTCGCAAGAAACCGCCTTCGCAGCCAGAGATGGCTCACCGGAGAATCAGACGGCCGTTCACTGGCTCAAAAGTAGAAGCACTGGTTCAGGCCGTAGAAAGTATAGGCACCGGAAGGTAATTAATTATTAAGCTCTATTTCCAGCTTCAATATGATTTAAACTATAAATTGAGCATGTTAACTATTCAATGTTGATGCTTTTCAGGTGGCGCGATGTTAAATCTCATGCATTTGACCATGCAAATTATCGAACTTACGTTGACCTCAAGGTACGTACCACCTTTTATAAAAAACAATATATAATTAGTATTTTAATTAATAAAATAGCTAAATAAAATAAGCATTTTTGGTGAATGTATACTCTAAAACAGGATAAATGGAAAACATTGGTTCACACCGCAAAGATATCAGCAAGGCAAAGAAGAGGCGAACCTGTGCCTCAGCAGCTTCTTGATAAGGTTTTAGAGGCTCACGCTTTGTGGTCTGATCGATGAATAGAAACTCAAGAAGACAATGATCGCTCCCTATTTTTTTGGTAGGAAGTAGCCTTTTTCTTGATAAATTTATAGGAAACAGTTTTGATATACCCGCCTTTAGGTACTGTTTAGAACGATTTAAGTTTTTATTATTTTGATTTGTAACTCATCAGATTGCCCGTACTTTAACCCTCCTGGCGGTAGATAACAGGATATATATTACCACTAGTCCACCAAAAGTTATTTGGGGACATAGGACATTTAAACCTGGAAAGATGTGGTTGCTTTGATTATGAGATGGAGTGGGTTCTCTTAATCAGTATATATGATTAAACGCGTGCAAGGTTGTGATTTAACATCCTAATACGTATACATACAATATATTTTCTTTGTTCAGGATATTCTTAAGTCTACCTGTTTTCTCTATTTTAGCTTCAGATAATGTTCATGAGAAAGCTAATAGCTAAATAGATAAGTTAACAACAAATAGGCAATAATAGTGTGCGCAAAAAAGTCTACAGAGTTTACATAATCATTTACATTATTAAAATTGAAGTACCAATGATTTTTTTGGAAACATAAATAAAAGTAAAAAAAGTATAGTATTGTTTAGAAACATAGATAGTACTGTTCTTCTTTCATTAATGTCATTTTAGTAATTTCATTAATTTAGATAGTAGTATTTTCTTTCATTATTAAATACTAGATGATTTTCCCGTGCTCATGCACGGACATAAATATTTATAAAATAAATATATTATAATAGTTGATTGATATTTACTTTAACTTTTATATTAATTTATAGTTTTTATGTATAATTATATTAATAATATTATATTATTTTAGTTATATATAATTTTAGATATATTATATTTAGTTAGTTTATCATTTGGATATATATATATANCGGACATAAATATTTATAAAATAAATATATTATAATAGTTGATTGATATTTACTTTAACTTTTATATTAATTTATAGTTTTTATGTATAATTATATTAATAATATTATATTATTTTAGTTATATATAATTTTAGATATATTATATTTAGTTAGTTTATCATTTGGATATATATATATATATATATATATATATATATATTGGATTCTATCTATTTCTCTGAATTCAACTATAATCTTTTTTATTCTAAATATCTTAAACTTTTGATTAATTTTTTTATTTACATTTATGTTGATTGTTATCTTAGAAATATAAGTATATCTTAGTAAGATTATGTATTTTAATATTTTTTGTGCTTAGAACGAAAAAAATAAAAACTAAAGTGTCTGATTCTAAATTACATACATAAGTAATAATAAATTTTCAGAAGTTTATGAAAACATATCAATATTTACAATAATTAAATATTTTAGAAATTTTAAAAAATGTATGCCTTAAATTGATTGGATGGTAAAATGAAATTTATTTTAAATAATTTTTAAAATAAAGAATTATAATTTTCTTAAGTATGTTGATTATGGTTATATTAAATTCCACAAACATAAAAACAGAAAAATAAACATCAAAAGAGTTATTGAGAAAACATATAATTTTAACTATTAAAATATAATATATCTACCTCGTTAAATTATATAGTGTTATGATATTTTAAAAGAATTATAGTTATCTGATCAAAAGATGTTTACCATTAAATTTATTTTTAGTTTTGTTTTTAATATCTCTTAAAATATGCAGTAAAAATGTGATTGTTTTTGAGAAATTATATTATATAAGTAAAATATAATTTATATTTTTTGTTGTAACGGTAAGATATTATAATCAAATAAATATACTAATTATAATTTTTTTTGTCAATTAAACATATATCAGTATATGTTACTTAATTATTTTATGTAATCATCTAATAAAATAGATAGATATATAAAAAAACTAATTACTTTGAAAATATATATTTTATTGTTTAAATTATTTTTTTAAATAAAAATATTTCTTTTTCTATTATCAAGATTATTTGTATGAATTTTTTTTATGAAAACACATTATATACAAATATTGTTTTCATCTAAGAAGATATATATATAAAGTATAATTACTTAAAAAGTATAATTAATCTTGTATGAATTTTTTTTATGAAAACACATTATATACAAATATTTTGTTCATCTAAGAAGATATAGATATAAAGTATAATTACTTAAAAAGTATAATTTATGTTATTTAAAAATATATTTAAGTTAAATATTACTATTTTGTAAACTTTCCTTTTTTTATGAAACCATATTATATATATACTTATTTCTCGTTTTTAAATAGTTTTGTAAATTTTAGAAATATTTCCTTTTTGTTTTATATTGTTATTTGGAAGATTTTAAAAAGGAAATAATAATATTTAAATATATTTTTAATTCATTAGGGGTATCATAGTAATCAACCAGCGTGAGAGTTAATGTGAGCGCGACACCTAAGAAAGTGACTTCTCAAATAATATTATAGAGATGTTAATTTATTTATATGATTAAGTGTGTTTAGTACAATGTATTATTACAAAGTCATAGATAAATATATATTTAGTTGATCAGAAAAACATAATTAACCTATTTTCTATAATATAGTTGTGGATTTTGACATATTAGTGAAGTAATTATTTATAAGCATATATACATATATATATTCATTATAAATGAAGTACATCCATAAATTTCATTTATATTATGTGTATTTCATAATACCAATGTTTATATATTATTTATGTGAACAAAATAAATTTTTAAAAAAACTTTAATTATATATTACTAACAAATTGTGAACTTAAATTTCACATGTTATTGCCAGATGTCTTAATATATAGATCAGTGATACCAAAACATATTCAAAATTCATTTTTTACTAATATGTTTTCCAATAATCATTATAAAACAAATTTAATTAATATATCATAAGAAAAATACAATAAAACCTAATTTCAAACACAATAAGTTTTTAAATAGAATAATATGTAATTAATTATATGATGGTACATATAAAATACTATTAACTATATGATTAATTATATGTTGGCACATATAAAATATGATTAACTATATGATGACTTGTATATAATATATAATAGTGACATGATGATAATGAGAACATCCGTAGTATTTTATCATTCCTGCAAGAATGGATGGTACAAATCCATATTGTTCAACTTTCAGGACTTAGGTACATTGTATGTTGAATTTCATATGTATGTAAATAATGGTATTCCATTTTGTAGGTTCAATCTTCAAAAGAGATAGATGTTTCATCTATCACTGGAAGACACTAACGCAGCATCCATAGCCGTCTAATGAGTAATTGCCTCAAGGGCCCTTATTTGAAAAATTTAAAGCTCAAATGTCCTCACTTTTTTCTTTTAATTTTATATGTCAAACGAAAAATCATAAAACTAAACTCAAAAGGTCAATATTTTTTATTTGATTTATAGAATTTGATATAAATATTTCAAAAATCAAAAAACTGTTTTTTCATATTTTTCCGAAAATCATCAAAATATGATTAAAATGATTTTAAAATATTTTTTTTTTCGAATTTGAAACATATAGAATATAAATATTTACCCATGGGTTCACTGATCCATAGGGGGGAGGTTTTTGTTTAGTTTTGATCGTTTGGGAGTGATTTATTTGGGATTTTCATTAAATAGTGGAGGGTATATAGATTAGTGGAGGGTATAGGTGATTTAAATTTTTTGAGTAAGGGCATTTGAGCCGTTGACTCCCGTCTAATAGCATGTGCAAGTGAAGCACTCGAACATGATCCCAAATATAAAAATAAGAAAAAATTAAGAAAAAGATAAGGAAAAATGAAGATTAAATTTAAAATATATACAGATAAATTATGATAAAAATAAAAATTTATATATATTGCTAGACTGGATATAATTTTAAAAGAAACATTAAACTTAGTTATTACTTTTTAAAATTTCTTCATTAAATCGTTAATTATATCATTAATATTTTTTGAACAAGGTCTAGAAATCATTTGATGAATTTATTGTTCGCCAGGTAACCCTTTAATGTTGGAGATGAGGTTGAGATTGAAGAACTAAAGGTAAAAAAAAAACAATATTTCAAACTTTTTCCATATGCTTAACTATTTAACTGAGAATGTCATATAATTGCATAATATGAAACCGATTTTTCAATGTCAAAACAAATAAAATACAGCTAAGAATAGAGATTTTTCTACATATAAATTTGTCTGTATTTGTTCCCACCCTATATAGATTATTACACTATATGAACATTGATCAATGGGTTTTTTGAGAAATATATTTCATAGGCATGGCAATTAAAATAAGGTCAAAGTAGGTGATGCAGCAAAATATTTGGAAATTATCCAAATATCTTTATTATTCATTAGTTTATTTATACCATTACATTTTATTTGTATTTTCTATATTTTAATAGTTTTCCTATTTTAACTAAGATTAGGGTTTTCTAGATTTAAAGATTTATTATAAATAGGCATTCAAGCCTACGATTGTATTCAGTTTTGATTTGATTAATAAAGAGCGTTGGCTTTTGGGTGAATAATATTCTCTATCCCTTGTATTGATTTGATTAAATTCATCAATCAAGAAGCAGACCCAAGCGAGGATTCCATAGAATCCCTTGGTTGAGTTAGCAGGTCCAAAGCGTGGTTCCATAACCTCTTAGTTGAGTTGTTTATCGTTGCTCCTGCTAAATCAATAGGCCTCAGACTTATTATCTGGGTTCCGAATTTCATTTGAGATCCGCTCCGGATCGCTCTGAAAATAGGATATACAGGGTGTCCGGATCCGGATATTAAAATCTCGGATATGTCCAAACCGGATCCCGAATATCTTAATTTTTTAGGTCTAGATATCCGGATCCGTGTTTTTGAAATATATTAAATTTTTAAATTTAATAATAATTCTACTTAGTATATTAGTATTTATAAATAAAATAAATTTCATAATTTTATCTTTTAATTTTATTAATATGAAATGTCATATATATTCATAATTTTGTATAAATATTTAATTTATATATTTTTCAATATTTTGTATTTTTAAAATCTTTTTTGTTAATTATTTTTACGGATCCGGATCTAAATCCGGATATATGCAGATATCAAAATATCTAAACGGATATCTAGAGTTTGATTACCTTGAATGCACGGATCCAGATATTAAAATCATGAATCCGACGAATCCGGATCCAGATACCCTAAATTTTCTGGATATCCGAATCCGTCCCATTCCTAGGTCAAGGTGTCACTCCTTGAAAAACTATGCTTACTTCTTGAGCTATTAAAGCCATAACTGGAACAACATTATCAATCCGGTTCTACTGGTATATATATTGTTTTCGTTTATTCAGTGGATTCAAAATTTAAAATATAATACATATGAACTATAATTATTCAGTCTGAAAGCCTTTAGTAAAAAAAAAAACTGTAACTATTCAATCCCTATATATGAGCTATACTGTAGATTTTGTAACCATGGTGCGTAACAAAAGATCTTTATTTTGATTTTATATTTGTAATAATTTATATTAATAACAACTAGAGACCATAACAATGATGTAGCAGAAAATATTTGAAATAAATATTAGATTATTTTTGTTTTTGTCGTCAAGATACCGATTCAACTAAAACTTTGTAAACCATATGATAACTCTACATCCATGTGAATGATGTAGGACTGTTTCTTCCGAGTACTGCGTGTTAGGCTGTTTGTCCATATATTATTCGTTCTGTGTACATATATAAACGTTGAGTGGTCGAAGCTCTACTTCAGTAGTCGGATGTCTTCCAAGTATGTTGCAAATGCAGGTCATTTTTCTGATGTTAAATAAATATTTGATACTGCTAACAATTTTATTAAATAAGATAACATGTTGGAATGTTTTTTAAATAGAAAAGGTATTATTACAGAAAATAGGTTTTACTAATATTTCTGTAAAAAGAAATATAATATAAAATAAAAACCAAAAACATTTGTCATATTAATTTAAATTTTATAATAAAATCTGCACGCCACGTGTCCAAACCTAGTTGATTTTATATGATTAGTTAATTAAACATGTGACCCAAAAAAAGTGTTAGTAAAAAGTCTATGTAAACTCTGTAGATAATCATTGATTCATTCTCTATGATAATGCGATATGCTGACAGTAAAAAAATAAGGATAAATTATTAATCTAAACCAGTGAACCACCAGTTCCACTTCGTCTCCAGCAAGGGGATCTCCTGATATGAGATTTGATCCAATCACAAAGAAAAAAAATATGGTGTTTCGATTACATACCTTTTTAAAGACAATCTTGTGATACACAATACAAGTGCTCTCTATCGTTTCTCAGTTATAATGTTCCATTGGTGTGGTAAGTCATCAATCAGAGCTAATATTATTTTCAAGGTATTGCATGTGGGACTGTTTTTCAAAGTCAATCAACTATTGCAATCATAATCTTATATATAGTTGATAAAATTCTTGTACAAAACTTTTGTTTCTTCATACAAAGGCAAACTGTATACACATGATCTTGTATTCATACATAGCATATAGATAAATGAAGCAACGAGTATCAGGCATTTCTAAGTATAAGCATCAAGGGTCCGTGTGTGAACAAAACAAACCGGGTTTCAAAACCATTTCAAACTCTTCAAGATAATAACCATCCCACTCCGACCCAAGATTCGGATCTTTAGCTACCGTTATGTTTCCTCTGATCCACAAACCGAAAACCCATTCCAGAAGCACAAACGTCTCAACGCTCTCGCTATGAAGCTCGATGGGTCGTCTACCGGAAACAACTTCTAGAAGAAACCCATGAAAAAGCCAATATTGAAAAGACGGTAAAAGAAATGTTCAAATTGGAATTCTTAGAAACCATAAGACTTGACACGTTCTACCATAGGGTTAGAATAAGGTAAGCGTTGAATAAGTTCAAGACAATAATGTTTGTCTATATTAATCAATTGTTGGATAAGTCCACGACAATAATGCAGAATTGTTCTTTAGTTTCTTGCTCAATGAAACTAGACGACATACGATTATAATACTTCTTCCTCTTCAACCACTTCAAAAGTTAGAAATAATGTTTCAAGTTAACAAGTTAACTAAGCAAGTGTTGTCATCATTTAGCGTATACAAAATCTATGTTGTCGGCTGATTAGTTTAATGACTACTAACCGGATGAAAGTCAATGATAAACTTATAAAAAAATGTAGTTTTGTAATTGACGTTCGAATACTGTATGTCCCTAATGTCACTGTTTAAATAAATTTGTAAAAACATATTCGTAGTCGACTGTTCGCTCATACGTGTGTATATATGTTTTCTCGGAGGACATTGTTTATCTAGGCATCAGTCATATGTTGACATTTGGATTTTGCATCTATTCTAATAGTTACACAATGTTACAGTGTCATTTCAATCAATTTGAATTTGCAAGTGTTTCAGTTAAAACTCCATATATGTTTCGCATACAGATTACCGAATATGAACTCGAATTCTTATGAAACAAATACATTAATAACAATCATTTATCTACAAACCAAAATAAATAAAAATCTTCTGTCATATATTTATGAATAATAGTGTTAATTGTCGGGTAGATTATACACAAATTAAAGCTAAAATGTAGACCAAAGCCTATAAAATAACTAATCACCACATTATTAAGCTATCTACACGTTTTGTCGGCTAATTAAACAAGAAAAGGTCAGCTTTGACTTTAGATAACCACAATGTATATTTAACCGTTGATCAAGCATCATCTTGTAATTTATCAAATTTACATCTCTTCGAAAATTATAACACTCCCTTTATATTCAATTTTTATTTCCTCTCGATCATATACCAAAAATGAATAGAAAATACTCTGATCGTCGATCATATTCATGGTCTGGACAAGCAAGACCATACATATGTGATTTTTGCGAGAGGGGTTTCTCCAACGCACAAGCTTTAGGAGGGCACATGAACATCCACAGGAAAGACAGGGCAAAGCTGCGACAAGCTAACCTAAAAGAAGATGATCGTGAAGACTCCACGTCCACCACTTCAAGGAATCGGTTCGAGCAAGATCTGATTGAATTGCCTTTTTTTGTTGATTCCACGGTCGGTTCATCAACAAAACAAGACAAAAATACAAGTGGTGACGATTTGGGAGATGAAGAAGAGAAGAAAATGATGAAACTTCAAAAAGCTTTGTCCCACAGTGCAGAAGTGATAGATCTTGAGCTTCGTCTAGGACTAGATCCTTATAAGAAATCACCAAGTACGTGATTATGTGAATAGTATAATGACCAAGTATATATGTAATCATCTGAATAGTTAGAATTTGTTTTTGTTCGTTTGATTATTTATTGATGTGTTAATATTACAATAAAACTAACATTTTTTTTTTGCGAAAAAGGCATTCAAATTAAAGACATAAAAACATACAAGGTATGGTTTTGAAAACCATAAAGTGTTTGAAAATATGATGAGACAATTCTCATATTCAGCTAAGTTATTAACTTAGAAAAAAACTTATAGAACATAAGTTTAGTGAAACAAGATAAGGAACAAAGAAACACTATGAAGTATGGTATCCACGACCTCGTTTACCCTTCTCTCGTATCATTGTCCATTCGATATCTTGATACTTTTGAAGTGGTTTGATTGGCCTCCCACCTCTTGACATGTTGAGATTTGCCATAGTATCACTCACTGACCCATCTCAATCATTCCTGCACATTTTGCTGAGTTTGATTGTGAGAGAGGCTGTCATGTGAAGGTGCATACACAGAGGCCAATGAATTGTCTCCTAAAACAAACGTTTATGTGCGTCAAGGTTTCTGACTTTGATGCGTTTCTTTCATTAGTTTGTTATCACAATGGTTTTTTTTTTTTTTTGATAATCCAGTATCCGACCACTAAGCGTGATCGACTTGTCCACCGAGCCTAAGCCCATGTTGTCCACCGAGCCTAAGCCCATGCCATTACAAGATTTTTAAACCTCTACTTAAGGATCCCTACGCGAAGTGGTCTGTAGGGCGAGAGCAATCCATGTGAATACCCTCGTGGCCCGGACAAATGTTTACAGCTGTGGAGATTCGAAGCCAGAGTATTGAGGCCGAAGCTCTCTCAGCTGGACATCGTCCCACCACTAGCCCACTTTCGCGGGTTTTATCACAATGGTTTATCATCATATTATACGAAATAAATAAATAATTTCGAAAGGATCATAATAAAATTAATATAAGAACACATGCCTCGAATCAGAGGCTTTTATCATTTATTTTAGGGTTTCTAGTACGATCGGGGTTTCAGATATTACAAAATTAAAGAATTTGTAAAATTTATCCACTAAGTTGATAAAAACCCTAAATGATACTTCTGTCTAAGTTCAGATTAGTTCTCCTGAATTGGCAATATAGTTTCTAAATTAATAGAAATCATCAACTTAGTGATTAAATCCAAAGCAATCAGAACAAAGATATAAACATTTTCTTATATATTTTTAATTAATTAGTGATTATTATGGACTAGGTATGTTAGTATTTTAATACAGAAGTTACAATGTCAACGTAAAATCATCATTGCAAGACAAAAATTACATTACGTTATCACTTTATTTGCCGACTGTTGAGAGGAGTCGGCGGCTCTGACTTTAAAATACTTAGTTATTTAATCATTATCACATTCACATTCACATTATACATATTGTTTTAATTGTTAACACCGTATGTATAGTTCTCAGTATCTAAACATTACAAATTTGACATCTCTTCACGTGATAAACACTCCTTTCCCTAATTTGTTTATATATCCTTGATCATATACAAAATGTATAGATCGTCGATCATATTCATGGTCCATAGACAAGCAAAGAGTATACATATTCTATTTTTGCGAGAGAGCTTATTCTCATTACACAAGCTTAAGGAGGGCACTGGGCACATGAATATCACATATATATATAACGTTGCATTATAATATATGTGTGTCTGTGTATGAGAAGAATTATTCACACTGATGCAGAGATGAGAAAGAGAGCATGCGTATGATGATGAGAACTAACCAAACGAGGACGACCCAGTTGTCCTGAGGGAGCTTCGGTCCAATACGAATCCTGATTCAAATCTCATTGGTCATTAAAGGTAAAATTTAAAGTTTAGGTTCTCTTAGTATCTGGTGTAATCTGGATCAATTTGGTAGGTGCCACCAAATTATATATTAAAAAAAAAATGAGAACTAGCTGCGACGATTTAAATCATCTATATATATCTACAACAAATTTTGAGAAAAGGAAGATTCAATGTATATATTTATAGTAGAAAAACCGGGGGTTTTATATATATCCACTGCCACTATCTTATATATAAGTTTGAAACGACAACGTGTTGATCAATGTATGCGGTTTTTGAGATGAAGACTTATACACCTTAAGGCTTATACATAAGGTGTGCGATGAAAAAGAGATCCAAAGTTTTGATCTAGACATCTATCGTATTAAGACCATTTTCAACAGTTTTTTTCATTTTTTCCCTCAAACTAAAATAAACAAAAAATAAGTTTGTGATTTACTCCAATGGTTTCTCTTATTTTCTCTTTCAGTTATAAATATATTTATCTTCCCTCAAAATAAAATAAACTTAAAATGAGTTTATGATTTATTCCAAGATTTTAGATTATACACATTTATTTTTTCATTCTACATTTTTAACCAAATTTTAAATTTAAAAAAGAAATATTTATTACACTAATAAAAGTATAGAACAACATACAAACTAATAATAATTAGTGATCCGCTACGGTTTGCATATTGTTCTATCCACTGTCTACGTTGTAGGATATTTTTAAAAGAAAAAAACATACAATTTTTGAAGAAATAATTACTTTAGAAGAAAAAAAAAACAATTTTTGGAGCAACTGAAAAGACAACTGCACAAAGAAAACACCATTGGAAGATTCAGAGTCGAAATTATGCCTTAAAAAACTAAAAGAAGAAAACAAAATTTTGTTTCGAGATTTAGCTTCTATTCAAGATCCAAATATTTGTGCATGTATCCAAGCTGAACAAACGCACAGTTGCCAAAAAATTGGCTACACAACACCAAGATCAATGAACTCCTCATGCATCTACTACACTTAGTCAATATTTTAGTGATCTTGGTGGATCTGAAAATAATCTACCTGATTATTAAATTACTTTAATCAATTTTATGTTAAGTTTGTCTTAAGTTAAGAGTTGTTAAATGTTGTGTTAATTTTGTTTGTGTTTTTTTCTTAACTTTGTATTAATTATGTATTTCAATGGTATTGTTATTTTATTTTAATTATATATTATATTTATAAAATGATTAATTATATTTTAATAACTCATTTTTGGTAATTATATTTTAAGAAGTTTAATCAGTATATATACATTGGATATGATATACAGTTTTAAAAGTTATGTTTAGTGTTAATGTTTTACTTATGCATAAAATAAAAATATCAAAAAATAAAGGATCATTATGTAAATAAAAAAATTAGTATCTCTCAAAAATAATGTAGTACTATCCATATATTCATTTTCTTCCCTCAAAATAACGTACCAATATAGATAAATTTCTCTCTTTTTGAAAAAAAAATTTCCTTCATTTTGATGAACCTTTGCAAATGCTCTAAAAAAATGCTATAACGACCCAGTGACATCAGGGCTCACCAACACCCATCTATATTGGTCCATTTTCTTTCCTTCATGTGGTCCATTTTTAATATTTTTAAATGCTTATTATTTATATTATCAATAACTAAAAATATAAATAATTTTACAGTCAACAATTACTTGTTCTATGAAGATTCATGTTCAACAATTTTTTTTACATCATATGAAAAAAATTATACACAGTTTCCATTAATTTACATAATTTACATTCTCTATTATTTGAATTCAGATTTCATGGTGTAAAACCATTAGATTAAAAGGACATCCACTATGGAGTGATCGGTTGGGATGTAGGAACCATATTTAACTTTAACTTTTACTTACAGTATTTTAAAATTACTGATCATGCTTTTAAGAGTTTTTTTAAGGTACAACAAAAAAATGAAAAAAATGATTGTGAAAGTCTTATTTTCTAGATTAACATTTTTAGCTGTAAAGAATATGGTGATGATTGGTTTGGCGTTAGCAGATGTTTTTAGATTTAATTTATATTTCAACTTTTAAAAATTACCAATCTTACGTTTTGGTGCGCACCACGATCTTGTTTCGTAGTGGGTTTTAATGTTTTAGCCACAAAAAATAGTGATAAAGTTTTATTTTCTAAGCAATATTTTCTTAAGAGTAGAAAAGATATTGGTGTAGCAATAAATTTTAAAGATAAATCCCATATAGTGCAAACAAAATATTTTAGGATAAAAAAAATTCTAAAGTTACAGCATAATGAATCAGCACCATTACTAACAATAAATTTTAAATTTACATCCTATACATCTAAATTAGAAAAAGTTTACAAAATAAATTCTATATAAAGTAGTAGAAGTCCTCTTAGTTCGATAGTTTGATTACATGTTTATTAATGTTTCTATACTAATAGATTTGAGTTTCAATTTCCAGAAAATCGAAATTATATAAATTAATAGAGAATAATTTACAAGTGATTTATAACATGTCGACTGTATGTAATAGTATAATTATCTAAAATTTAAAAAATTATACTATATTAATTTTTTATACAATTACAGCCCAACGGATCATCACCTATATTTTCGTTTTGGTTTGAAAGCTCTTACAAATTTGGTTCAAACTTCAGCAAACCAACAGATTTAATATTCCTTTATATAACCAATTAACCAAAGTGTCTTAACTAATTAAAAAACTAATTCAAAGTTAATAATGGAAGCTGATAGCGCAGCAAAACAAATTAAAAGAAAAAAACAAGAATATTTAGTGGGTCATTTCCCCACCACGCGTCCATCATAGAGAAAAGGAGCTTCTAATTCAAACCGATAGTCTTTCCTTCCAGAAACTTCTCGACATAAAAATAAACACTTGCGGTCTAAATCACTCCACGTGTTTCCAATATGATGTGGCAATCTGACGTGGCACTCCCTAAACACACGGATTTGATTCTCCCACCACTCATTTTCTTCTCTCTCATCACTGAGTCAACTCGTTCTCTCTCCTTTGTTCCGTTTCTCTGCTCTTTCTTCTTCTTCTTCTCTGTTATCAAAAGAACGTTAAAAAAAAAACTCCGATTTGTAGAGAAAGTGAAACACAGATCGATCACTGAAGCAGATTATCGGAAGAGTCTCTCTCTCTGCCATGAATGGGAACAACGGAGGATCAGTTCCGATTCAAGAATGTAAAAATAGAGTGGTTTACATGTCCGGTTACTTGCCCGGAGCTTCGCCGGAAAAGTCTCCGATTCTATCTCCGGTTCCCGTGCGGTTACCGGCGGCTGGAGATTCATGGAAAGACGTGTGTGGCGGCGGTTGTGGATTCGCTATGGCTATTTCAGGTTAGGTTTTTTTTTTTTTCTGGGATTTAATAAAGTTGGAAGCTTTGTGAATTTTAAAAGATGGATATGACTTGTTTTTAGGGAATGGGAAGCTTATAACTTGGGGGTCTTCTGATGATGAAGGACAGAGCTATGTTGCTTCTGGAAAGCATGGGGTAAGAAAGTTTATTAAGTTGATTAAGTTGTTGTCTTTCTTTGTTATGAAGTTGATTAAGTTGTTGTCTTTTTTTTTATATGAATTGATTTAAGGAAACTCCAGAGCCGTTTCCACTTCCCACGGAGGCTTCAGTATTACAGGCTTCTGCAGGATGGGCACATTGTGCTGTTGTAACAGGTAATTGGTTCACTCTTTGGGTTCTTTGATCTGGAGACAATGTTATCGCAATGTTCTTATGGTTTGTGTGCAATATTTAGGATATGGTCAACTGAAACTTGGTAAATAATTAATGATAATACCTTGTAACTATTCCTTTGAAAAGATCTTCAATGTTTTAGAGAAAAAATATTGTTCCAGAAAGATACATATTTTACATTTTCAATGAATTATTTAATGGTAAGTTGTGTAAACTTCAAATGTTTATTGAAACTATATTGGTTAACGTTAAGAAAAAATTGTGGATAATAGTGAATACAAAAACAATGTATTGACAATCAAGATTTAATACTATGTTTTTTTTAATGTGTGAATTTTAGTTGTATATCTTTTCTGAAGGGAGAGAGTATGTTTTTCTGAAGAGTTTTGTGTTGGTGTGTGTAGAGGCTGGTGAAGCGTTTACTTGGGGTTGGAAGGAGTGCATTCCGTCAAAGGATGTTGGTGGAAAGCAGCAGAGTGGCTTGAGTGACCCTGGTGAGTTCCGTTAGGATATCAATGACTGTTTTTACTTTTTAGTGCTTTATTTATTTGTTTATCATTGACCGATCTAACTTGTTCAGTATTGTCACAAGGTACAAATGCATCCATCGCTCAGAATGAGAACCGAAAGGTGGGAGAGGAACCAGTGAAGCGGAGACGTGTTTCAACGACCAAAGATGAAACGGAAGGCCTTACATCTGGAGAGGACTACTTTGCTACAACACCTTCGCTTGTGAGTGTTGGCCTTGGAGTGAGGATCACCAGTGTTGCTACTGGTGGTCGGCATACTCTGGCATTGTCAGGTGAAGTTTGAATAAACAACTTCTTTTACAAACCCAAGATGAAGATTCTTTGAGGATGACTGCATCTTATTATGAGTCATGTTTCTGCGGAAGTTTCAGATATAGGACAGGTTTGGGGTTGGGGATATGGAGGCGAAGGGCAATTAGGATTGGGTTCCAGGATTAAAATGGTTTCAGCTCCTCATCTGATACCTTTCCTTGAATCACCTGGCTCTGGAAAAGAAAGATCTTTTGTATTGCATCAAGGAACAGCAACAACGTCAAGAGTTCCTGGTCAGTATATTAAGGCGATTTCATGTGGAGGGCGTCACAGTGCAGCAATTACAGGTCTGTTGTGACTTCTGACTTATCCTTCTACACAGTTGATTCAACTAGCTAGGCATGAAGTAAAAAAAAGCTAGCTTATAGTATATGTATTTCTCAAGTTAGTTTTCAAGAGTGATTTGAAAAATGATGTGATGGTTCGATCTTGATTGCTCGTCCTTCCTAGTTGCAGATGCTGGAGGGTTAATAACTTTTGGCTGGGGACTTTACGGACAGGTCAATGTTTTACTTCTTACTAATCTTTGTCTGGTTTTCAAATTGATGTTATCTTGAATTCAAGTGCTTTCTGTTTAGCTTCACCATTTGATCATTCTAACCCGACACTTTTTTGGTATTTAGTGTGGCCATGGAAACACAAATGATCAGCTAAGGCCCATGGCTGTGTCAGAAGTGCAGAATGTTCAGATGGAAAGCGTAGCAGCTGGATTGTGGCATACTATCTGCATCTCTAGTGATGGTAAAGTGTTCGCCTTCGGTGGAAACCAATTTGGGCAACTTGGAACTGGCACTGATCATGCTGAGGTACATTTCCTGGAATACAAAGCAACCGACTTCTGGTTGAAAAAGTTTTGCAATCATGAACTGAAACATCTTGTGATGTATAGACCATACCGAGGTTGCTGGATGGGCAGAACATGGAGAGCAAGCATGCAATAGCAGTAAGCTGTGGAGCGCGACACAGTGTGGTTTTGGCAGGTATGGTTTTTCAAATGTTAATGGCAGAAAGGGAACTCTCCCAACCGAACTGAGCACTAGCAACTTGGCATTTGTTTTCAGTCGTTTTAAAGAGACGAAACTAAAGAGCCCTGAGATGCTGCACCTTGTATTCAGGTCTCCTTTTGAATTGTTGCAGTTTTAATTTGTGGTCTCTCTACAAGGGAGAGAGAGTTATGTCCTTCCTTTTAGAAACATATAACATGTCTATGAAACGGCTTTGCGTTCTATCATATATGCCTGCTGCTCCCTTTAAGTTTAGTTCACTGTAATATCTGTGAAGGTTGTATTGAGTGTATTTTATGTTTTGCTTATTAGCAACGCAATTTTTGTTTCTGCAGATGATGGTCAACTGCTATGCTGGGGATGGAACAAATACGGACAGGTACGATGTATTGTTCTTGTTTTTTTTTTGGTACTGTTAATCATTGTCACTCCATAGCATCTCATTTTTGCATCCGTCTTGTTACTCTAACAGCTGGGTCTAGGGGACACGATTGACAGGAACATTCCTACACAAGTCCAGCTCGATGGCTGCAGACTGAGAAAAGTAGCATGTGGATGGTGGCATACGTTACTACTAGCTGACTCACCCACTTGAGTTTTCGCAAACCAATCACCAGATCCTCAATACATATTTTGGGGTTCCTCACTTGTGAAAGAGATGCTTATAGGTTTGACAAAAGCTGTACATACAGGATTTTTGCTGTATGTGTGTTGCTTCTTCAATCTTTCCCTGTCTTGATGTTTTTTATTAAGTGACAGAGCTTTGACTTTGTATTATATGGTGAATTTACGTAACAGAACAATAAATCAGCTTGGTATGAAATGATCTTAGGTTTCTTTGGATGATTGTAAAACAGTTAAGAGATTGTTTTGGACACTGACCAAGGCAAACAACTCTTGTGTTTCTTGTGCTCAATGTACATAAAGTTGATAAGTATTGTGAATTAAGGTGTTCTGGTGGATTATGCCAGTTAAGTGATATAAGCTTAAGAAACATTGTTCATATATCTGATTTGAATCAAAATATTGTCATGTCTCACTCATAAGCCAGTGTACAAGATGATGTCAGACAATTAAAGAAACTAAACAGAGGCCAAGATCCAAAACGTGACATGAGAAGAAAGAGCAATCTGAACCCAAGTGACGAAAGAAAGCGCCACAGCAACTTCATACATAAGACATGAAAGTTGTTGGTCATGGATACCACAATACTTGAGATCTTTAGCATACAAGACCACAACTCCTGCTGATGAACACGCAGCTGCAAGAGATAACATCGCAGTCACCTGCCGACAACAAAAAAAAAAAAAACAATCCCTTAACAAGAAGCAAACTCTATCATAACACATCAAGCAGACACAAAAAAACAATGTGGTTGGTTGCGTACCCAATCACCAACGACGAATAAGCTAACCAAGATTGGGTTTTGAAGATCTTTCTTGGTCCTAAGCGCATAAACATCAAGACACGCGAGAGCAAAACTCCAGAGTAACTGAAGACCCATTGAAGCAATCAAGTAGCTGAAACCAAACCAAGATGTTAATAAGAGAGAAGAACCAAATCAAGAAAGCGAAGAAACATCATACCAGAAAGCAGTGCGACCAGAGAAGTCGGTGGCAGAGACCATAACGCCTATAGAAGCAGCAGAAGAAGCACATTGTCCGATTCTAAGTAACAGACCACACACAGTTCCTGGTCCTCCGAAGATCTTTTTCATCTCCCAAAATGTTAAAAAAAAACCCAGAAAAAAAATTGCGATAAAATCAAGAGAGTAAAGAGGAACAAAGAAAACCCTAATTTTCGCGAATTAAAAGATACATTTTGGCGGGGAAGTAGAGATGAAGAGGAACTCCATAGCTTAATAAGAACCCTAAGAAGAAGAAGATGATGATTGACACACACCTACTACATAAAAGAGTATCCTAAATTTGCTCAATATTCCTTTTTTCGCCTCTAGATTCCTATTATAAAGCTCTTTTCGAGTGGACTCAGAGGTGGTATCCGACGTGGCCGACAAATATATATTTTGAGGACTTTAGTAACTTTTTTTGGTATTTTAAATTCTTTTAATTGAAGGAATCAATTCTGTAATTAATAGTATAATATACTTTGTCTTTTGTATGGGACTATTATAGTTTTGGCATAACAATAGTATGATCATCATCCTATTTGAATTGGCTGTTGTAATTATACTAAGCAATGACAATGACACATTTTCTTGTTAATTATCACTTGTAATAGAATGTTTTTTGCTCAAGTTAAACATATAATTTGTGCATTTTTTGTTTTTTCTTTTGGAGACAAATTGAAACTTTTTTTTTCAATGACAATGACACATTTTCTTGTTAATTATCACTTGTAATAGAATGTTTTTTTTTCAAGTTAAACATATAATTTGCGCATTTTTTGTTTTTTCTTTTGGAGACAAATTGAAACTTTCTTTTTTGTGCTTATAGATTGGGAAAGTTCTGAAGAATATGATAATTTCTCTAGTGAATCGTGAGAAGCTGTTCATCACACTACAAGGAAAATGACGTGACAGGTTGACGATCCTGAGTCTTGACACACCTGATGTCTGTGAGGCATTGAGCAGAACTCTAAAGCAAATGCTAAGTTTTATATTCCAACAGTTTAGTAAATATGATACATTTCTTCAAAATCTAGCCTAAATCATCACAAAAATAGCTGGATCTAAAAACTATGCTTTGCTTATTGGGTTATTTCTCTGAATAAGGAGAACACAAACGAACTGAATCTGATTCAATTGCCACAACCAACTTCAAAAATCATCTTTCATAAATCAGAAAAGCAAAATAACAAGTTCGCATCTAGAGAGAAATTTAATGGAAACATCCCAAAAATAACAAGAGGCAAGCGCAACAACAGCTTAGATTCTCTATCTCACTCTCACTCACTCACAGTTGCTTGGTCTCGACCTTCTTCTTCTGCCAAAGCCTGTCAACGCCACTGTCTGCGTCTCCCTGCAATTCGTGTTTTCATTCATTAAAAATTTTCAATAGACAAACACTTACGCTAACACAATTGTTAAAGATTAAAAACTAATTTGAAGTAATCCACAAACCTGAGCACGGACGAATCCGCAGAGAGCAAGAGTGGTGAACTGACCAGTGTAGATCCCATCGGCATCAAGATGACCAATGTTAAGCTGAACAGAGGCATGATCCTTTGATGTGATCAATCTGTTTGTCGCCGAGCTGCAAAATTTTACAACCACACGAATCAGACCTTAGCACATAAGATTTTATTATAAATCAAAATACTCAGCAACAAAAAATGTAAAGAATATAAAATACCATTTTCTCGGAATGTAAAGCTCTGTGACGACTCCTTCCTCGTTTTGCATGATTATAGCTTACGAAAAAAACGATCTGATTCATGATAAACACAAAAAAAAATGTCTGATGAAAAGATTCGCTAGTAGAAAAACATATGAACAATGGAGTGAAGAGTGATCACAAGCTCTAGATAAAGAGCATCATCAACAATAACTGATAAGATTCTACACGAAACGCATGCTTGTGAAGCGTTTAACAGAGAAGGATAAACAGCATTGACATCAGTGGAATAAGAATTTCTCACCTGAGAGGAGAGTTGCAGTAGTGCGGCGGCGATGGAGAAAGAGATTTAAAAAGCAAATTATGTTTTTTTATACTCGTGAGGTCTTAGGGTTGGCTTGTATCGCAGGGGATGCTAAAGACTACTATACCCTTCATGTTTCTGAGCTGGAGAACTTCTCATAACCGAACCAATTTGAACCGGTTTTATAAAAATAGAACCAAACTACCAGAATTTAAACCGACAGGTATTTATTCTATCTATACTATTAAAGCAGAATCCCTATTAGGATTCTGCCCTTAGTTTTTGTACTTATTTACATTGAATTACCATTACATTTAATTTTTATTCTTGATATTACTTATTTAAATTAAATTTAATTTTGTGTATGGAAATATTCTAAAAGAACAATAAATCCATCTAATGCACCAATCACCCCTACATTACGGGAGTATATCTTTTATTTTTACAGAGGTATATCTTAATAATGAAATATATTTGAACACTAAATATTTGCTTTTTTCAACAAACGAACTATTCATTCATTGTTTATAAAATATATGAAACCATGAACAACATCATATTATAGCTGCAGGCGTTTTCAAAAACACATATTAGAGAAATTGTTATTATTAGTCTTAATTACAAGCCTGTTTTATATAATATATAAAAAATCTTAATCCATCTTATTTTATACTTAGTTAATATATATTTATACCATATTTTAACAATTTTATACTACATTACACAATCTCATTATAAAAAGATGATAGATTATATTAAGTTATCAACAGCATAAAGTTTCAGATTATTCCTATTATCATTAACAACTATTCGAATGAAAAATATTAAAACAATATTAATCAAATCTTACTTACCAAAAATCCTGAATACCACAGTGTGATATTATTATATATCAAATATACTTACAAATATGATATTGATGGTCTGTCGACAAAATTGTAAAAATCACCCTCCAACCAATATTACTTTGACAATCGTAAGTCCAATGCATATAGAATGCAAGAACTTGTAACCAAAATATAGACCATGAACAAAATTTTGTATACGAAACACGATTCAAACAAGATGTCCAACTATTTGCTTTATACATATTAGTTGGTATCTGTAGAACCCTTTATAGAATATAAATTACTAGGGAAAGCCCGCGCTTCGCGCGGAATTTGATATTTTGTGAAGAAAAAAGATAAATATTTGTTTGTAAATGTACTGAATTGTGATGTTCATTAGTTTGGACCCATATTTTGTATGATTCTTTAGAATTTGTTATAGTTTCGTATTTTCGTTGTGGAGAATGTTTGCTTATCTCATTGTTTCTTTTATGTAAGATTGGAATGCAATATTTTATAAGATAACAAATGTGTTATTAAGGTTCAGCCTAATTCCAATATATTTTTAAAACATATATTATATTACTAAATAGAATAAAAACTCAATTTTTTAGGGTAATGAATTGTTGATAGAGGATTTTTCTCTCTTATTTCTCTCACTTGAATCTTTAGATAAGAGGGAATCATTTTTTTTTTCTTGGATGAAGTAGTTTTCACATGTGTTCTAATTTTTAATATTTATTTAGTTTAACATNCTCTCTTATTTCTCTCACTTGAATCTTTAGATAAGAGGGAATCATTTTTTTTTTCTTGGATGAAGTAGTTTTCACATGTGTTCTAATTTTTAATATTTATTTAGTTTAACATTTCACATATGCTTATATTTATTATGACGTTTTCTAATTTTTATTTGATGTATAACATGTTGTGAGACTGTACTATTTTAAATATTATTATATTTTTTTGTTGTGTTTTTTTTTTTTAAATCGATGAAAACATAATTTTATTGCCTTTGACTAATTTCAGTCTGATGAAGTAGTTTTGAATCGAAAAATTTCTGATTTTCATATGTGTTTTAACTTTTTATATTTTTTTTAGTTTTAGATTTCATATATGCTTATATTATTATGATGTGTTCTAATTTTTATTTGATGTATAACATGCTGTGATACAGTACTATTTTAAATATTATTATATATTTTTATTTGATGAAAACATAACTTTATTGTCTTTGACTAATTTCAGTTTGATGAAGTAGTTTTGAATCGGAAAATTTTCTGATTTTCAGTTGTGTTCTAACTTTTTATATTTATTTGGTTTAAGATTCCATATATGCTTATATTATTATGATGTGTTATAATTTTTGTTTGATTTATAACATGTTGTGAGATTGTACTATTCTTATATTTATTTAGTTTAATATTTCATATATGTTTATAAATGATGATGTGTTCTAATTTTTATTTGATGTATAACATGCTGTGAGACTGTATTATTTTAAATATTAGTATATTTTTGTTATTTTTTATTTGATTAAAACATAATTTTATTGCCTTTCACTAATTTCAGTTTGATGAAGTAGTTTCGAATCGGAAAATTTTCTGATTATAGATGTGTTCTAACTTTTTATATATATTTAGTTTTTTTTTATATTTATTTAGTTAAAGATTTCATATATGTCTATATTATCATGATATGTTCTAATTTTAAGTTTGATGAAAACATAACTTTATTGCCTTTGGCCAATTTTACTATACAATATAAATTTATTTAGAAATGAAAATTTCCATATATGTTTAATTTCTGTATTTATGTTTGATTAACCTTGTATTTTCAATGGTTTTACTTTTGTATACTATGTATATCTTTCACAGTGTATAAATTCTCGACTTCATCTATTTTTTTCTTTGAAGAAACAAATTTGAATTTTGTGTCATTCAATTGGATACAATTTGTAAGAACTCACAGCAATTTTGTGCTGCTAAAATATATTTAAAATATTATATATTGAATGACGTGGACATAGGAGAGCATAATCTTAGTTTTATAGATACGAAAACACAACTGCTGTGACAAATAAAAAACAATTACAACATATAGTTGGGAGTAGTGATCCAACAAACGTGAGACTATCTATGCTTTTTTGACACAACCAAAACTGGACCATTATTATAGTTAACTAATGATGAAACACTGAAAAACAGTGATGTTACATGTAACAAACAGAGACAACAAAAGCACTTACAGATTGTTGGAGATAACAGAGATCAACAGCTCTATCAGTACATTACAGTATACAATGATGGATTTAGAAAAATATACTTACTTTATGGATAGTCTCCATGACACAAAAAAATCACTAATTTATTTGATATGGATGTGAAAACAGCAAAAACACTTATCAAAAGAAGGAAATGAGACCTTTTTGCATCCGTACTTTGTGTGGTTTGAACCAAAGAATCAAGAACACTTTTCCATCCACCAAAATTAAGGGAGAACCAGCATCGGGCTATACGAACCCATTAACATAGAAGGTTGGTATTTTATAAACCCCTCTTGTAAGTGNATTTGATATGGATGTGAAAACAGCAAAAACACTTATCAAAAGAAGGAAATGAGACCTTTTTGCATCCGTACTTTGTGTGGTTTGAACCAAAGAATCAAGAACACTTTTCCATCCACCAAAATTAAGGGAGAACCAGCATCGGGCTATACGAACCCATTAACATAGAAGGTTGGTATTTTATAAACCCCTCTTGTAAGTGTTATACTGCAACAACATAACCCCAAGAAACCAAAACGTAAATTAAATTTACTATTGTTTCTATCTCAGGTAACAATATGAATGGCTATGGTTACTCATATGGTGGATGGCTCAAGTAGAAGACTACTGAGATTTAGTAACTCTAGTGAAATTTACATGTTCTTTCACCTTTTAAACTTATCAAGTATTATATTTTGCAAGAATCTGAACTTATCAACAACGATCAAAAACTTACTTCAAAGGTTCAGGTTCAGGCCTTTAAATATCAGTATATGTTGATTAACCCATTCTCAATTTGTGTTCTTAATACTTCATGGCTAGGTGTTAAGAAAAAACAATCCAAAGATAAATATAAAGAACTCACAACCTGTAAACCCGAAGAGCTTACATATGCATTACCATGGCACCTGCAAAATCGAAAAGCCAAAATAGATTCCTCATGAGTATGAATATATGAACAAAACTTAAAGGAAATCCTTCACAATGGCATGTAAACAAACATGAAAACATTAAGAAACTCAAGATATGTGTCTACTAATCATGAATCTATGATAGTTGTACTGCAATTGCAATGGTATGTGGTTGCTTCAGCCTCAAGAAAAAACAAAAAAAAAACTGTGAAATCATTGACGAACTTTCTGCTAATTTCAGATACTTAATGCAAAACCTGGAAAGGGAGAATAGGAAGACAGTACTGACGGTAAAGGAAGAAGAGACGCCGAAATTACCTAGGTGTCTCTAAGGAGCATGTTAACCCTCAGTAGCTCACCGCCGCTCCTAACATTCATCGTTTCTCAGAACCTAAGCAAATAAGTTTCCTTTGTTGTTTCAACAGATTTAGAAGATGGTCTTAAGAGGTGGAAGCTACCCTTATTATACCCGACTGATGGAAACGGAGGTGAACGGACGCGAGCNACGCCGAAATTACCTAGGTGTCTCTAAGGAGCATGTTAACCCTCAGTAGCTCACCGCCGCTCCTAACATTCATCGTTTCTCAGAACCTAAGCAAATAAGTTTCCTTTGTTGTTTCAACAGATTTAGAAGATGGTCTTAAGAGGTGGAAGCTACCCTTATTATACCCGACTGATGGAAACGGAGGTGAACGGACGCGAGCAAAACCCTATGAACAGAATCGCAACGCCGACTTCTGCATCTCAGATGAACCCTACATTCCAAACGACGGCATATTGAGAGTCTTAGAGTTTGACGTAGACGGGTTGGATTCCTTGACGACAATGTAAGGCCCAAACACAACGAAACCCATATATACTGCAGAACTCAATTAGTGAAACGCGACGTTTTGAAAGACCAGGACAGGTGTCGCGCTCACCTTGGACGATTTGATGACGTGGCGCGTTAAAAGAGGGATAAACTTAACTTTATATATATAGATTAGAGAAGTAATTAATGATTGAGATGTAGTCTGGGTTGTTTTATGCATATATTGTTG